GTAAGCAACGCTTTCATAATTGCCCTCCTTGATCTTCATAGCAAGTACATTCAAGTGCTTGTCTTTATTATAGACTACGTTGTTCTTGGTTAGATAATGCTTTGTTTGCTTATTGTTGCCAATGAATCGTTTCTTGGAGCCTTTGCTTCTCATGATATTCTTTTGTAATTTAGCAATTTTCTTATCACTGTCTCCCGCCAGCTCTGTATAATCTTCTAAAGGTTCATACAAGCGACTAAGTTTGTCAGGTAAGATGTTGTCTAAGCCCTTGATATGAGTGAATTGCAGTTGGGGATACTCGTTTAAAATCTCCATGTAATTTTGAATGACTCTAGTAGGACATTTACATGTGTAGATATAAATCAGAGCTCGATGATCTGTCATAACCTCAATCTCAGGATGCCCGTACAATAAGGGTCGCAAACGAACTAAACCGAATAACACGGCATACAGTTCTCGTCTCAGGACAGGCCAGTTCTGTTGGGATTTGGTCAGAGATTTGCTCAACATCGCCACATAGACTGTGCGTCCTTGATCGTCGCGCTGCGTCAAAATGACTGCAACTGCATATAAGCTAGCATCACATTCAAGATAAAATTTCTTATTCATGTCTGGTGCAGTCAGTAAAGCTTCAGATAACAAGACCTTCTTGATAATCTCAAGTCGTTTGGTGTGCTCCTCAGTCCATTTGCTACCAGCATCTGGATCATTTCGTAGAGCATCAATAGGCGCCATCAGTTTTGACAGATTTGGGATGTGTGGTCTCAAATATGAAATAACACCAGCTAGTTGTTTAACCTGTTTGGCAGATTTGCATGGACCCCAATGATCAATGTCAGAGAGACGTCGCATGTCAACCTTGGAAACATGAGGACCAACTACAAAGCCTAGCAAGTAGATGCTAGATCGAAACCAGGAGCACTTTTCAACACCAATCTTTAAGTTGGCATGTGTCAAGCGTCTCAGCACCTCCTTAATCAATTCGCAATGACTGGATAAGGATGAAGATACGAGGCATAGGTCGTCCACATAGACCTCCACGTTGGGCATATCAGAAAACAAAATGTTCATGACAGAGCTAAAGACAGATGTGATTGGGCGCAACCCGAAACAGCAGCCTAACCATCTATACGATTTTCCTCTAAAATTGAACAAAAGCACATTTCTTGATATGTCAGAAATTCTAAATGAAAAATATGCGTTTTTCAGATCGATTTTCGAAAATATTGTCCCCTTCTGCTTGATCCGGGTGAAGATATCCTGTATATTTGGTATCTCAAATTGGTTTGTATTGTTGGGCATATGCTGGTTGATCCTCCGCACATCCATACAAACTCGAGTTTTGGTGGGTTTGCCATCATTGTCCTTCTTTGATACTGCAATGAGAGGGCTGTTGAATAAGCCGTTAGGTCTACACTGTTCTACAATTCCTGCATCCAGCCATTCATTCAATTGCTTTTCGATTTCGGGCATTGCATGATGTGCGATCGGATATTGCTTGACGTAGTAATCAACATTCTCCTTGATTGGTATAGTGATCTCAGATTCAGGCACGTTACAAAACGTTCCAGGCTTGATTCTCTGATTCTCATCAATAGCATCTTGGATGTTGCTCATATACTTATTCTCCTCAGCTTGGGATTCAAAGATTGATGCGGTTTCTGGATCAATAGAATGTTTAGTATCAAAATTGACATTTTCGAAATCGATGCTTTCAAGAAGCTCTGATTTCTCTTCCTCTGTAAGATGTCCAATATCAGCAAACTTGTGAGCAACGCCAGTTAGCCCAATTCTAAGTCGACTCAATGTGTCTACACCCAGTAGCACATCAAAATCGCCTAGGTCCTGAATAAAATTGGATAGCTCAAACGAGTGATCAAATGCAATGTCATTAAGATATCTTATCTTGATAGCTGGTGTTTTACCCAATCTCTTTACTGAATGACTCAGAAAGTTCAAATTGCCTTCAACAGAAATAATATCTTGGGAAGTGAATAGTAATTTATTGTGAAAAATGTTTTTATTTAAGAAGGTGGAATCTGATCCCGTATCTACTTTCGCGATCAAACGGACTGGTTTTCCTTCTTTGCTCTCTAAAATAATAGGAGTCAGTAACTGAAATGGATTGAAACTTTCAGGTACATTTTTCACATTAGACTTACAGTTGAGCGAGGCATCCTCTGCTTCAATCTCGTCCAAGCAAGCATCTATTTCCTCCATGGTGACATCTCCAACAGCATCACCAATGTCAGAATCAGTGCTACTTTCCATGGTAACATCGTTGGTCTCAGAACCAGAACCAGACTTGTTGTCCTTGCGAACAGTGGTTGTTTGTACAGTATGCACACCAATGTTCTTCCTTGATTCTCTCTCCTTCTTCCAGTCGTAGAACTCTTGACAACGATGACCGTAAGCACGGGGCTTACCACAAAAGTTGCAGGTTTTGGGATCAGAGGATGAGGAATTCATAGAATACGGAGCAGCAGTAGTAGCCCGGTTAGGCTTGTTGTCAGAGCCAAAGTGCTTCAATCTTGACTTACAGTCAATGGTGTTGTGGTTGGCATTGCTCCCGCCATGCTTCGCACAGAAATACCCAGTGGCAGATACCCTTGCCATCTTTGTTCTCGAACCAGAACCACCAGAACCACCCTTACACTTACCTCTGATGTCGACCTCAACATCATCATCACCACGATTTTGCTCGTCAACAAGGAACAAAGGCAACACACACTCATAGATCTCGTTGATAGTCCATTTGTGGTTGGAACCATGCTTGACGGACATTTGGTTGACCATCATTTGCTGATTCTTGCGTAACAGCGTGAACTGATAGAACTTGGCTAACATGTTGCTGTTAGGAGGGAAGCCACAATCCTTGACGTACTTCATGAACTTATTCGTATAGTCCTGTAGAGTATCTTTGTTCTTCATGCGCATGCTGAAGAGTTTGGCCATGGATTCCTCAGAGTTGATGGGAGCACCAAAATGTTTGCGGAACAATGCCTTGGCTTGATCCCAATCATTGCATGCCAGAAGATCATTCTTGGTCCATGATTCGAAGTCAAATGGCAGTGAAACAGGCACGTAGCGTTTCCAAACCAAATTTACTTCATTACCGGATGCTCTGATGACGTTCTCAAAAGCACTGAAGAAATGATCGACTGTGGTGAATCTTGGATGGTCAGGCCAATGCTTAGCTTGTCCTACCACCTGGAAACGGGGGATCTCATTGAGATTGACAGGTCTTGCTTTGGAATCAGCCCTCTTAGTAATCGCATTGACTTGCTTGCTGAGCCATTCGATAGACGCAGATGCTTCATCAGCCGCCAAGCGTTCTTCCTCAGTGTAAGTATCACCAGCGTTACGATGGATCTGATCCAAGCGAGCCTGAGCAGTGTCAATCTTCTTGAGAAGATGATCAACTGCAGAAAGTTGAGCGTGCTCATCCACTTGCATAGATGAGTCATAAGGAGAAGAAACACGGATAGAGTCTTGAGCAATATCCTCTTGAGTGTTTTCGGTAGCGTTGTATTGGTTGTGAGACATGATAAAAATAGTTTTTAAAGTAGAATAATAAAATGTAGAGTATAAGATAAAGTGTAAAAGTGATAACCTTTGAGTTGAAAAAAATGTGGAATTTGAGGCTTTACAGACTAAAATTCACGGAAAAAAAAGAATAAAAAACAGTAATGTCAACTTGATAAAGGTATATTTTATTATCAAACTGACAGGTGTAAAGTAAACTGAAGTCTCTCTACTGGCCAGGTAGATGATCCTTCTTATATACTATAACAATGGATAAAAGTTCTATTAATTAGATTGACAAATAAGTCAACTCAGATCAACTAATGTCTAATCATGCTAAAAGACAACTCCAGCAAGCTAATCATGATTTAGCTCTGTCTGGATGAATAATTAGACTCTCATCCGAAGTACCCTGATCTATCCTTTCCATAAGGATAATTAATATCGATCTAGTAGCATGTATCCGATAGGTACAGTCTTCTTAGTCTATATTAATAGTACATATCTGAGTGTATATCGCTAAGCATACATCTTTAGCATGTATCTGGATATATGGCATGTCTATAGCATATCGTATGCATGTCTATAGCATGTCTCATATATAGTACAAGTCTGTAGTACATAAAGTATCTGTAGCTAGTATCACGGATATAAGCATGTGTCTTATAGCGTGGATCATGAAGTGCACATCTGAAGCAACAAGCTCATATTGCATTAATCTTGGTGCCTATCCAGATATGGTAAACATCCGTAGTTAATGTCGGAATACAAGTATAAGTCTATAGTGCCATCCATGTCCGTGGTGCCATCTATAGCCTATATCTTATATAGTATGAATCTTATAGTACTAGCGTATCTGAAGTCCATATCTTCTCATGATCATAGTATAAATCGATATCGTACATCTAATCCAGTGTACATACAGTTTATATCTAAATCTGGTAACTGGATGAACTGTCGGAATGCAGATCATAGTGGATGTATTCCACACTGCACACTCTCTATATCTACTTCCATTTATATCTCGATCAGATCTCAAATTACATATACTACCTAAACGTATTAGCATATGATAAAATATATAAGGAAAGATGGCCGAGTTGGTCTAAGGCGTCACGTTAAGGTCGTGATCTCTTCGGAGGCGTGGGTTCAAATCCCACTCTTTTCACTTTTATTTTTGGTTCAGTTTTGCTTACGTAAGCGATTGTCGTGACTAAAGTGTCAGGTACACATAGTCTTTGTGTGTAATCTTTTAATTTAGTATAAATATTGTCAGGTACACATAGTCTTTGTGTGTAACCTTTTAATTTAGTATAAATATCAAATCAGTTTGCAAAACAATAAAGATCATCTTTTTTCTCAATTCTATTCTTTTATATACATTTGCCAAGGTCTACTCAATAACCGTATCTCTATTAACGACATTTGGTAGCAGCAGAACCATTTGATCATTTATTTGAAACTATTTATTGTGAATGAATAGCTTGACTGAGGAAGAAATCAAAAAACTCAAGAACCAATTTGAAATAGAAGAAAGAGTCGTTCAAATACTAAAATTTGAAAGTGATATCGAAGCTTATAACAACAAGTTCAGAAAAACAAGACCGGGTCAATTTACTCAAGAAGAAAGAATCAAATCATCAAAAGCTAGACAAGAACATTGGAATCAACTAGCTACAAGTATCGCAAAAAAGTGGTTTGGATTAGACAACATTAACTTAGACAATAACAATAACGACAATAATATGACTGAACAAGATGGGAGTCCATTAGGTACTACTGGTGATAGTAGTGACATTATAAAGCTTGCTGAAATCTTGAAGGAGGTAATCCTTGCCAAGACATCCAAGGAAGACGATTTCGAGTTTTTGGAACGGCCCAAAAGTTACAATGGTTCAAGGGATCCCTTCATTATTGAATCTTGGATCCAGACGCTCGAAGACTTTGCGGATATCAAGAAGTTTGATAATGATAAAATTGCCAAATTAGGTATCACTCTTTTGACAGGTGCTGCCAAAGTTTGGTATCAAAATCTGCGTTTGCTAAATTCTGCGCCTACTAATTGGTTACACTTCAAGACCGAATTAAGAGCATTTTTTAAACCGGATAATGCTATCTCGGTTGCTCGGGATCGCATGCGCGCCTTACGACAGAAGTCTACCATTGCTCAATATGTTCAAGAATTCATGACTATCAAACTCAGTATTCCAAGAATGACAGACGAAGAAGCAGTTGACAAGTTTTTATCTGGCCTTCGAGATCCCAACGCTCGAATTCACATCAAGGACAGCATTTACATGGAAGAGCCTGTTTTAACTGAGGCCATCCGTGCTGCTCATAACTATGAAGGAAATCGTTTAGATTCCAGTTCCTCTATTTCTCGGGGTTTTTCGGTGGATACTATGGATCTTCAGGTGGATGATCCAATGGATTTGTCGGTGATGGAGCGCCGTGAATTATACAACATCATGAAATCTTGGAACAACTCTAGTGGTCGTGTTGGTTTTGCAATGGGTGCTCGTGGTGGTTTTGGAGGCGGCAATCGTAGGGATTTTAATGGCCTTCGTGGTGGTCGTGGCAATACTCGTGGAAGTTACAATGGCTCTCGGGGTAGTCGTGGCGGCCAACAGCATCGTGGTGGGCGTGGTGGCCGTGCTCGTAATGGTGATCGTGCTAATGTACAATGTCACAACTGTGAAGGTTTCGGTCATTACATGAGGGATTGTCCTTCTGAACCTCGACAGCAATTGAATTATGCCGAGGCTGGCAACATTGATCATGGCTTTGATGGTGCTTCTGAAGACAATAAAGACTTTGATTATTCTGCTTATTTGTATTGTGTCTTACCTACCTCTAAGTCGTATGTTGAACCTCTGGTAATTGACGATACTCTAATCAAGAAGGATCTGGAATTTGTGATGTCTGCTGGTAAAATTGATACAAAATTGCCCCTGTACAATGGTTGGGTGAATGGCCATTTGTGCTCTGTATTGATTGATTCTGGTGCTTCTGCTAATTATATTAGTCCGAAACTGTCCTCCGTAGTTACACAATCAAGAGCTGTTAAAGGTCAAGCCGTGGAAACTGCTAATGGCCATCAATCTGCTATCTCATCTATTGCCACTTTGTCTTTACAATTGAGTGATTATACGGATGATATGGAAGCTTATGTATTTGATACAAAATTTGATCTGATTTTGGGCAACTCATGGCGGCGTCAGGTTCGACCTATTCCTGATTGGTTCCATAGTTCATGGTCAATTAAGCTTCCCAATGGTGGTTCTACATTAATCATGCCAATTCAAACGCAGACGAAGCCCAAAAATCTACTACACAATCAAGAGATGGTTCTGGAATCTGGTGATGCTGGTGCTGCTATGGATGCTACGTTTGGTGATGCTGATACTAATAAGATTGGTTCTACTCGTGGTACAGATATGGTTGATGCCGATGTTAATTTTGTGGGATCTAAGGGTAAATTTGTTGGTTCTGGGGTTGATGCAGGAGTAGACGGTGATGTTACTGTTGGATCTGAGGGTATTGATGATGTCGATGATTGTAATTTTGTGATTACTGCAAGACAATTTGAGAGGATGTTAAGAAAGAAACAAGTGGAGGAGTGTTTTCTGGTCTCCCCAAGGGAATTGCATGGTCTTTTGAATTTGAACAATGTGGATGTGGTGCTGACGGATCAAGACAAGGAGAATGAAGCCTGGTGTGCTGAGTTTGCTGAAGCCTATCCTGATGTTTTCAAGGGATCATTGGATACGTTGCCTCCGGTTCGTCGTACTGATGGTGAAATGATTGAGTTGGAGCCTGGTACCAAGCCTATTTCTCGGGCACCTTATAGGATGTCTCCATTGGAATTGAAGGAATTGCGACAACAATTGGATGATTTACTAAGTAAAGGATTCATTGAACCATGTGTGTCGGAATGGGGTAGTCCTGTACTCTTTGTCAAGAAACCCAATGTAGTGCGATCAACACCAGGTATGGTCAATTTTCTTGGTCGGTCATGGCGATGGGTGTGAAATACATCCACTATGATCTGCATTCCGACAGTTCATCCAGTTACCAGATTTAGATATAAACTGTATGTACACTGGATTAGATGTACGATATCGATTTATACTATGATCATGAGAAGATATGGACTTCAGATACGCTAGTACTATAAGATTTATACTATATAAGATATAGGCTATAGACTTATACTTGTATTCCGACATTGACTACGGATGCTTACCATATCTGGATAGGCACCAAGATTAATGCAATATGAGCTTGTTGCTTCAGATGTGCACTTCATGATCCACGCTATAAGACACATGCTTATATCCGTGATACTAGCTACAGATACTTTATGTACTACAGACTTGTACTATATATGAGACATGCTATAGACATGCATACGATATGCTATAGACATGCCATATATCCAGATACATGCTAAAGATGTATGCTTAGCGATATACACTCAGATATGTACTATTAATATAGACTAAGAAGACTGTACCTATCGGATACATGCTACTAGATCGATATTAATTATCCTTATGGAAAGGATAGATCAGGGTACTTCGGATGAGAGTCTAGTTATTCATCCAGACAGAGCTAAATCATGATTAGCTTGCTGGAGTTGTCTTTTAGCATGATTAGACATTAGTTGATCTGAGTTGACTTATTTGTCAATCTAATTAATAGAACTTTTATCCATTGTTATAGTATATAAGAAGGATCATCTACCTGGCCAGTAGAGAGACTTCAGTTTACTTTACACCTGTCAGTTTGATAATAAAACATACCTTTATCAAGTTGACTTTACTGTTTTTTTATTCTTTTTTTTCCGTGAATTTTAGTCTATCAAGCCTCAAATTCTACAATGGGATTGAAAAATTCGGGTGCAAGATGGATGTATTTGATGAATGATGTCCTAAAGGAATATCTTGATGATTTCGTGATTTGCTACATTGATGACTGTCTGATTTATACAAAGGGTGATGACATTGAACTACACAAGAAACATCTACATCTACAGTGCGCGAAAAAAACGTTCCAGTGTTTTGCCAATTCGTAGTTTTACACTTACAGCTCTGTCAATTTTTTCCAGTTTTAAAACTAAAGTAAGACTACGAAAGCTTGAGTTTTTAGCCACAAAATGAGCTACTAAAATAATTGATACAGTAGATATTAAGCAAGTGCAACTGACGTAAAGTAAAAAATTTCGATTTTGTAAAATTGGAAATATCGCTTGATGACCTTATTGTTTGTATACATTCCACGAAAGTAATCTGAGAGCCGTAATTTTTTATATCAATAATGTTTAAAATGTTAGTTATCCGAGGAATGCTTAAAAAAGTATAAAGAAGCCTGAGATTTTGGTCTTTTCCCTCATTATATTTTACCATTTTTACTTCATCACTTTTTTTAACATGACACGTCCCATTCCTCAGGAGGTTCAAGGATCTGCCAAGGCTCTTTTCAACCAAGGTTGTTCCCTCCGTGCCATCCAAAAAATCTTCCCAAACTTGTCCGTCAGTGTACTTTCTCGCTATAGGAAGAAGTTTCTTGGTCATTCAAAACATGCCAAACCCGGAAGACGCAGCAAAATCACTACGCAAAATATGAACTACATTGAGAGGAATCTCCGCAATGGTAATTTAGACGGCCCGAAGGGTGTGCAGTGCTACCTTGCTCATATGGGAGTTCAGATGACTTTGAGGAATATACAGTATATACTCAAGCGCAAAGGGTTCAAGGCTAAAAGAAAGGTAAAGACCAATTTCGTGTCTGCGGAGAACCGGAAAAAACGTCTTGTGTGGGCCAAGAGACATCGACATTTGACTGCGGACGATTGGCGTGAATGGGGATTTTCCGATGAAACCAGGGTCAACATTTGGGGATCTGACGGCGAATCTTTCTACTGGACTGACAGGCCCACTGAGTTGATGCCTCATCAAACTGAGGCTCAAGTTCAGGGAGATGGTGGTGGCGTTGTTTTCTGGGGCATGATAACAGCGGAGGAACCCAGCTATGGTTCCACCATTACCAAAGGAACTGTTAACTCAGAAGTTTATGCTGAAATTCTGGACTCATCTTTGCTAGACACTATCGAGTACTATGGGCTGGACAAGAAAACGTTTAGATTCAAGCAAGATAACGCAGGACCACATACTTCTGGTCCCATTAAAAAATAGTTCACGCATCACGGATTCTCTGTGCAAAGTGTCCTTGATTGGCCCTCCCCAAAGCCCTGACCTAAACCCCATTGAACATGTCTGGCATCAACTAAAACGTCGTTTGAACAAGTACCCTACTAGGGCCGCCAGCATTTCTGAGTTAGAAGACAGAATTGAGCAGGAATGTTATAAATTCACAAGAGAAGACTGTCTTAAATACATAGGCAGCATGCCACGCCGAATCAAAGCGGTTATCAAGAGTAAAGGTGGTCCAACTAAATATTGAGCTTTTTTATAAGATTTAATAAATTCGACTTTTCACTTTTCATGAGGCTACCATTCTTTTTCTAATTACGTGAATAAAGTGCATAATATATCATCTGATAGCCAACTACTTAGGCTATTTACGAAACTAAGCAAACCCCAGTAGCTTTGATATTTGCAGAGAAAACTGGCTATAAGTGCAATTTGGCAAAACACTGGAACGTTTTTTTCGCGCACTGTATGTCAAAGGACTGGTTCACTCTTGGGATGAATATGTGGATTCATCACTGTTCTCTTGTCGTATCCGCAAGCATGCTACTACTGGATATAGTCCTTTTTACCTGGTCTATGGTCAAGAGCCTGTGTTGCCTGGCGATTCTCGTCGTCCGTTTATGGATCCTTTAACTGAGGAAGACCCTGAATTGATTGCTGAAGATGTTCTTGCTCGCATTCGTGATCTCAAGGAAAAGCGATTTGAGGCCAAGGAACAGATGATACTACAGGCTCGCAAGGACAAGGAACGATGGGATGCTGCGCTCAAGAGCAACAAGGCCCAAATTTTTGAGGTGGGGGATTATGTCATGTTGAGGCATGAATCCAAGAAGGGTTTGGAGTTCAATTGGATGGGTCCATATGTATTTTTGAAAACAAATTTGGATTACAACATCTACCAAATTCAAGAAATCGAAGGAAAAGTCTACAACTCCTGGGTTCACACGGATCGTCTCCATTCTGTCCAGTATGATGGTGCCAAACCCCAAAAATCTTGGTATATTCCTCGTGTTGCTAGAGCAAAATAGAAGTTTTTTTTCTTTGCCTACCCGTACTTTCTTTTGGGAGGAAGGTAGTGTCAGGTACACATAGTCTTTGTGTGTAACCTTTTAATTTAGTATAAATATCAAATCAGTTTGCAAAACAATAAAGATCATCTTTTATCTCAATTCTATTCTTTTATATACATTTGCCAAGGTCTACTCAATAACCATATCTCTATTAACGACAAAAGATATAGTTTTAGAGTAGACTTAGACTAATGTATTGTTACAGGCGAGTGAGTAGTAGTGTATACAGTTTTGATAAAAGAGTATGAAAGAGATGGTAAATTAGACAAAGAAGCAGATCTAACTATCAAATGAGCACCAGGTTTGTAGTTGTCCAACTAGAACAAACAAATAAACAGAAGTAAAAGTGGAAAATAGAAAGTAATACAAAGATGTATATAAAAGAGTTTACAATGAATTGATTATAATATGGAAGATATGTAAAGAATTCAAGGGATCTTACAAATAACAGATGTTTGATATAAGAAAAGAAGTAAATATAACAGCCAATGAGCTTTATAAAAGATGTATATTGTAATGTTGGTAAAGTATAAGATCCTTTTATTAATTGATTTTGAGAGTTATGCTTTTATATTATTTTGCTATTATTTATGTCTGTAATAACTTCCTGGTTGACGTAGGATTGATTTGTGGATTGATAATATATCTCTACTGATATCTTTCGATAAATGAAGAATTGCTTACTTAATTTACAAGGGCCAATGAATACGGCTTTGCATAATTTGGTTATGCAATTGCATTTCATGGACTTAAGAAGTAAGGTTTGATATAAGATTGTTCTTTTTGGATAAAAGATAAGGAGAGCATTGCAGCGTTGATCTGGGTCCTTAATTCATGTCTGCTTGATATGTGGCACTTCGAGTTGAGAAAGAGTTGTGGACAGAGTGTAATTTAGGCGATACCAAATGTGATGTGTTTTATTTGTATGATAGAGACAAGCAGATTGAATGATTATATTATATTATTATATGGTGGCAGAGAAAAAAGTAGAAGTTATAATTTGTAACATCAGTTTGCCAAATAATAAAGATTATCTTTTTTTGTATATGTTAAGCACAAGCAAGAAATAAAAGAATTATTATTTGTAGCTTGTAAAAAAAAGTTTGATATTATAAAAACAAGAAAAGACTTATTTGAATAAGATCAGACACAAAAACTAAATGTCTATTGATGAAGACAAGAGTTATCCTGTTTATACTATATTTTGAATGTCAAAGTAGCAATTTATCTTGTATAACGCTTATCATATATGGTAGACCTCAGCATTTGGATAGCCGAGATGCAGCTTAATTATCATTGCGGAAATTAAGGCTTGATAGACTAAAATTCACGAAAAAAAAGAATAAAAAAACAGTAAAGTCAACTTGATAAAGGTATGTTTTATTATCAAACTGACAGGTGTAAAGTAAACTGAAGTCTCTCTACTGGCCAGGTAGATGATCCTTCTTATATACTATAACAATGGATAAAAGTTCTATTAATTAGATTGACAAATAAGTCAACTCAGATCAACTAATGTCTAATCATGCTAAAAGACAACTCCAGCAAGCTAATCATGATTTAGCTCTGTCTGGATGAATAACTAGACTCTCATCCGAAGTACCCTGATCTATCCTTTCCATAAGGATAATTAATATCGATCTAGTAGCATGTATCCGATAGGTACAGTCTTCTTAGTCTATATTAATAGTACATATCTGAGTGTATATCGCTAAGCATACATCTTTAGCATGTATCTGGATATATGGCATGTCTATAGCATATCGTATGCATGTCTATAGCATGTCTCATATATAGTACAAGTCTGTAGTACATAAAGTATCTGTAGCTAGTATCACGGATATAAGCATGTGTCTTATAGCGTGGATCATGAAGTGCACATCTGAAGCAACAAGCTCATATTGCATTAATCTTGGTGCCTATCCAGATATGGTAAACATCCGTAGTCAATGTCGGAATACAAGTATAAGTCTATAGTGCCATCCATGTCCGTGGTGCCATCTATAGCCTATATCTTATATAGTATGAATCTTATAGTACTAGCGTATCTGAAGTCCATATCTTCTTGTAGTATAAATCGATATCGTACATCTAATCCAGTGTACATACAGTTTATATCTAAATCTGGTAACTGGATGAACTGTCGGAATGCAGATCATAGTGGATGTATTCCACAAATAGATTCATATCTGTATAATGTCATTGATGCTCGAGCTTTTAAATCACTGTAATCTCACATTTCAAAATACAGATCTGGTTTTGTGCAATGCAGAGAATCCCAGTAGCTATAAAGCACTGCAACTTACCTACTTTTTCGGCAACACAGCCTACTACACCTCATTTTTAGGTCAAATTCTGTCCAAATGTTACCGTTTTTCAACTCGAATAACTCATGCCACAACGCGTTTTGGACGCTTGGAATAGTGCCAAACGATTCCCCTTGCCTACGCTTTACTTGCTGATGCTTCATTTCGAAATTTTTTGGTTCATTGAAAATTCATGAAAATCATCGTTTTTTTCACGAGTATTAGCAAAGGAAAATTCTTGTAAGTCAAACGATCGCTTTTTTCACCCAAAAAATGAAGATTTTTCCTATGATAAATATAAGACCAAATTGATCGTAAATACGGAATGCAACACTGGAAACTCTTTCTATGAGATTTTCCTATGTGAAATTTTGACATTTTGGCAAAAAACATGTTTTCATATTTTTGCAAATTGCTCATTATTTTCGATCTGAAAGCTGAATGTAATGAGCACCATTCGATGCATCTTCTTTAGTTCTGTAAAGTTATATTAGAAAGACGGATGTGATAACGAGAGTTTTTATAGTCAAATTTGGCAAAAACGTTTAAAAGATGTTAAATCAAGACAAGTTTGAACACGAAAATACCCACTGCACAAATACATATTAGATTACCGCAATTAAGGCTGCCGCGGCAGAAGACTTAGGCCAAATCTACTGGCCGTGACGTCGGATAGGGCGCCCTCTCATTCTTCCATACCACCTTTTTTTTTTCCCTTTTTTGCAAAACGCGTTTAATATCAAACCATGGTGGTTTTGGAAACTCTTTGATTGATAATAGCACTCTATCTTCTGATAACACTGTCGTACACTGATAGAAGTACTTTATACTGCTTCTTTAAATTGGAATATATTAGGTACCATTCGATAACGAGCACTGAAAGGCGTAGAATTAACACTAACTGAATTTGTTTATTAGGTTTTGATGATTCTTTTTGTCTGTTTGATGTAAGTGCTGCTGCCAGTACTTCTCTGCTATTTCTGTTGTCTGCTTCTTTGGTGTATCATGTCTGGTGGTTGCTTCTTTAGCCTTTGTCCGGTCTCTGGTGTCGTTCATTCTTTGGTTTTTCTATGGTACTGGTATTGCTGCTGCTGCTAATCTGGCCTTTCCTGGTCTACTGTATTTGCTGCATGCTCGTTCTCTGGTCTATCTCTGGTGGTAAGTGGTAAGTAACTTCTTTGGTCTTTGTTTGCTCTCTGCTAATGGCGTTTGTTCTTTAGTTTGTCTATGGTACTGGTGTTGCTGCTGCTAATCTGGTCTTTTCTGGTCTTCTATATTTGGTGCATGCTCGTTCTCTGGTCTGTCTCCGGTGATTGCTTATACTCTTCTGGTCTATCTGTGGCTGTGATAGGTGGTAAGTATCTTCTTTCTTCTGGTCGCAATGATATAAAACTTCTTTGAACGCTTATATTATTGCTTCCTTTCTCGTGAGAATGCATTCATGATGCTTGCCTTGTTGCGCTTTTTTCTTTTTGTTTTTCTTTTGTTGGTAGTGTTTCCTCTGTAGCTTTACATGAAACAATACTAGTCATTATGTTGTATCGCAAACTTACAATACCACTGTTGCTTTTGCAGTTGTGCGTATCCGTGTCATCATGTTGCTTTACATCCGACTTTTACTACCATGCGCGTTGCTCATGTATGCATTTTTCTTGCAACAGCAACGAGCTTTTTTTTTTGAACATCTTTGATGTTGTGTTTGCTATGCTTTTCTTTGACCCACTTCGTGTGAGTGTTTCTTTTTTGCCTACATACTACTATACTCGTATAGTATTATATTCTTTTCTTTTTTCTTTTATTATTATTATGTTTCTTTTGAAGCATATCTTTTTTACGTTGTGTGGATGTGCCTATCCCTGAAGCTCAACAAGACTTTATCCGAGGCTAGGAGGTAGATAGGCCGCCTCCACTTGGTTATTGCTACTTACTTTAGTGATGATTGAGGGTCTCAATGCCTGAATTTAAAGCTAGGTGGTGTAAGTAAGGCATGCTCTAGCACCTGGGGGAAGTTTGATGATAGCAGTGGCTATATTGCTATTATAGCGGCGCTTAAAATTTTGCCTCACATCAAAACAGGGGGAAACCCTCGCAAAAATTTTTTTAGGTCAGCGGAGTTTTCAAGCAATCTGATTGGCTAAGAGGTTGGAACAACGACGGGTTACAACTAGTTGATTTCCTATTGACCTGCCATGTATTATAATTTTTTACTTGTAATAAAAACGTATTCAAATATTAATATAATTTAGATCCTTCATTATTCAAAAGTAAGATAAGATGCGATGATTGGACTTATCATCCATCAGACAGTCTTTTGCGAGAAATGTCTTTTAAAGTTATCAGATGCGAAAGTTATATAGGAGGTAGTATCACTTCAGCACAGTGTTGCTTACGTTGTTGTTACTGCAGTAAAATCAGGTTTAAATAGATTTCACAAAAAAAATAAAGCAATAGTAAAATACAATAGAAATCAACTGTATTTTATTTTGTGTATCAAACGAACTGAAGATCCTGGAATTGAGTAAAAAAAAGAAGAGTTGTGGAATTTGAGGCTTTACAGACTAAAATTCACGGAAAAAAAAGAATAAAAAACAGTAATGTCAACTTGATAAAGGTATATTTTATTATCAAACTGACAGGTGTCAAGTAAACTGAAGTCTCTCTACTGGCCAGGTAGATGATCCTTCTTATATACTATAACAATGGATAAAAGTTCTATTAATTAGATTGACAAATAAGTCAACTCAGATCAACTAATGTCTAATCATGCTAAAAGACAACTCCAGCAAGCTAATCATGATTTAGCTCTGTCTGGATGATGAATAATTAGACTCTCATCCGAAGTACCCTGATCTATCCTTTCCATAAGGATAATTAATATCGATCTAGTAGCATGTATCCGATAGGTACAGTCTTCTTAGTCTATATTAATAGTACATATCTGAGTGTATATCGCTAAGCATACATCTTTAGCATGTATCTGGATATATGGCATGTCTATAGCATATCATATGCATGTCTATAGCATGTCTCATATATAATACAAGTCTGTAGTACATAAAGTATCTGTAGCTAGTATCACGGATATAAGCATGTGTCTTATAGCGTGGATCATGAAGTGCACATCTGAAGCAACAAGCTCATATTGCATTAATCTTGGTGCCTATCCAGATATGGTAAACATCCGTAGTTAATGTCGGAATACAAGTATAAGTCTATAGTGCCATCCATGTCCGTGGTGCCATCTATAGCCTATATCTTATATAGTATGAATCTTATAGTACTAGCGTATCTGAAGTCCATATCTTCTCATGATCATAGTATAAATCGATATCGTACATCTAATCCAGTGTACATACAGTTTATATCTAAATCTGGTAACTGGATGAACTGTCGGAATGCAGATCATAGTGGATGTATTCCACATTTGCCCCCACCAGTTTCAACGCATGTTGACTAATTCAAAGAATTATGTAAACGATCAATGATCTGTATTTCGCATTCGCTGACAAAGATATAACGCAATGTGATAGTCTAAAGGTGCTACTGCAATTTGCATGTTGCCCTGATATATTCCATGACAAACATCACTTTACTGTTCTGCAACGTTGAGTCTCTTAGAGCCTCTCAAACGCTTGTCAGAATCATCACGCTTACGCTTTGATTTGGAGGAAGCAGTGTCACTATTTAGTGCCTGTCTTCTCTTCTCAAGCAGCTCATATTCCTTGATCTTTGCCCAGTACTTACGAATGGTTTGAGGGTTGTTGAACGATGCAGCAGTTTCCCAGGAGTTGGCAGCTTCTCCAAATGTCTTCCATTTTACCAAATACTCTCTATTGTGTTCAGGACCACGATGCGCTCTGATCTCGTCAACCTCATATACTTCTTGTTCGATGATAGACTCGTCGATTGCTACCAGCTTCAATTCAGATGGCACATAGTCGCGATGTAGTAGTTCATTCATATCGTCTTTCAACACATATGTAGATCTTTTCTTTTGAACAACTTGATAAGGTCCATCATAAGCGGCCTCAAGTTTGCTTTCTCTATGCGGAAGTCTTACCATAACCCAATCACCAACTTTGAAGTGTGTAATCTTGTGATGCTTATTGAATCGCGTTGCTTGCTCTTCAATAATGCGTTGTGTTCTTTGGTTAATAGCTGGAAAGACAACCTGGTTCATAATCTCTGCCTTCTTGCGTAGCTCACCGAGAGTCATTGGCTTCTTTGGTAAGTTGTCTTGATCTTAGGATCATCGTAGTCTACGAATCTATTCAATGGTCTAGCAAACATCAATTGAAAAGGTGCACTCTCAGTGCGATACCTAATTTTTGTGTTTATAGCCAGTTGAGTTCCAGGTAGAACCGAGTCCCAGTCATAGATGTGTTCACTGACCATCTTACGAAGTGCATTAAGAATATTTTTAACACCTGATTCGGATGCACCATTGCCCCTAGCGTGGAAAGCCGTAGAGTATCTTTGATTGATGCCAAGTGCTTTACCAATCTCGCTCATCAAAGCACTCTTGAATTCACGTCCATTATCAGATTGTAGTATTTGTACTACGCCAAAGTCTCCAAAGATGGTAGTCAGAGCTCTAGCGACAGTATCAGTTTGTTTGTTGGGCAATGCACGAGTTATAATAAATCTGGTGCAAATGTCGTATACAACTAATATATATATATTGCCATTGTTGGTTGGAGTTAACGGACCAAGAAAGTCAATGCCTATGTGATCAAATGGACCATACGCTACAACGTTTCTCAGTTCATGGTAACCCTTTTGAACTCCATTGTGTCTTGCACATTCCATACATGATTGACAAATTGCCTTTGCATCATCATATAGACCTGTCCAATGAATACCTTCTTCATGTAGTTTCTTGACAATACTAGCGGCACCAAAGTGTCCAAATTCATGAGTTTCACGAAGCAGTTGGTCTCTCTCATTGTCAGGTGGTGCAATGTAAGCAACGCTTTCATAATTGCCCTCCTTGATCTTCATAGCAAGTACATTCAAGTGCTTGTCTTTGTTATAGACTACTTTGTTCTTGGTTAGATAATGCTTTGTTTGCTTATTGTTGCCAATGAATCGTTTCTTGGAGCCTTTGCTTCTCATGATATTCTTTTGTAATTTAGCAATTTTCTTATCACTGTCTCCCGCCAGCTCTGTATGATCTTCTAAAGGTTCATACAAGCGACTAAGTTTGTCAGGTAAGATGTTGTCTAAGCCCTTGATATGAGTGAATTGCAGTTGGGGATACTCGTTTAAAATCTCCATGTAATTTTGAATGACTCTAGTAGGACATTTACATGTGTAGATATAAATCAGAGCTCGATGATCTGTCATAACCTCAATCTCAGGATGCCCGTACAATAAGGGTCGCAAACGAACTAAACCGAATAACACGGCATACAGTTCTCGTCTCAGGACAGGCCAGTTCTGTTGGGATTTGGTCAGAGATTTGCTCAACATCGCCACATAGACTGTGCGTCCTTGATCGTCGCGCTGCGTCAAAATGACTGCAACTGCATATAAGCTAGCATCACATTCAAGATAAAATTTCTTATTCATGTCTGGTGCAGTCAGTAAAGCTTCAGATAACAAGACCTTCTTGATAATCTCAAGTCGTTTGGTGTGCTCATCAGTCCATTTGCTACCAGCATCTGGATCATTTCGTAGAGCATCAATAGGCGCCATCAGTTTTGACAGATTTGGGATGTGTGGTCTCAAATATGAAATAACACCAGCTAGTTGTTTAACCTGTTTGGCAGATCTGCATGGACCCCAATGATCAATGTCAGAGAGACGTCGCATGTCAACCTTGGAAACATGAGGACCAACTACAAAGCCTAGCAAGTAGATGCTAGATCGAAACCAGGAGCACTTTTCAACACCAATCTTTAAGTTGGCATGTGTCAAGCGTCTCAGCACCTCCTTAATCAATTCGCAATGACTGGATAAGGATGAAGATACGAGGCATAGGTCGTCCACATAGACCTCCACGTTGGGCATATCAGAAAACAAAATGTTCATGACAGAGCTAAAGACAGATGTGATTGGGCGCAACCCGAAACAGCAGCCTAACCATCTATACGATTTCCCTCTAAAATTGAACAAAAGCACATTTCTTGATATGTCAGAAATTCTAAATGAAAAATATGCGTTTTTCAGATCGACTTTCGAAAATATTGTCCCCTTCTGCTTGATCCGGGTGAAGATATCCTGTATATTTGGTATCTCAAATTGGTTTGTATTGTTGGGCATATGCTGGTTGATCCTCCGCACATCCATACAAACTCGAGTTTTGGTGGGTTTGCCATCATTGTCCTTCTTTGATACTGCAATGAGAGGGCTGTTGAATAAGCCGTTAGGTCTACACTGTTCTACAATTCCTGCATCCAGCCATTCATTCAATTGCTTTTCGATTTCGGGCATTGCATGATGTGCGATCGGATATTGCTTGACGTAGTAATCAACATTCTCCTTGATTGGTATAGTGATCTCAGATTCAGGCACGTTACAAAACGTTCCAGGCTTGATTCTCTGATTCTCATCAATAGCATCTTGGATGTTGCTCATATACTTATTCTCCTCAGCTTGGGATTCAAAGATTGATGCGGTTTCTGGATCAATAGAATGTTTAGTATCAAAATTGACATTTTCGAAATCGATGCTTTCAAGAAGCTCTGATTTCTCTTCCTCTGTAAGATGTCCAATATCAGCAAACTTGTGAGCAACGCCAGTTAGCCCAATTCTAAGTCGACTCAATGTGTCTACACCCAGTAGCACATCAAAATCGCCTAGGTCCTGAATAAAATTGGATAGCTCAAACGAGTGATCAAATGCAATGTCATTAAGATATCTTATCTTGATAGCTGGTGTTTTACCCAATCTCTTTACTGAATGACTCAGAAAGTTCAAATTGCCTTCAACAGAAATAATATCTTGGGAAGTGAATAGTAATTTATTGTGAAAAATGTTTTTATTTAAGAAGGTGGAATCTGATCCCGTATCTACTTTCGCGATCAAACGGACTGGTTTTCCTTCTTTGCTCTCTAAAATAATAGGAGTCAGTAACTGAAATGGATTGAAACTTTCAGGTACATTTTTCACATTAGACTTACAGTTGAGCGAGGCATCCTCTGCTTCAATCTCGTCCAAGCAAGCATCTATTTCCTCCATGGTGACATCTCCAACAGCATCACCAATGTCAGAATCAGTGCTACTTTCCATGGTAACATCGTTGGTCTCAGAACCAGAACCAGACTTGTTGTCCTTGCGAACAGTGGTTGTTTGTACAGTATGCACACCAATGTTCTTCCTTGATTCTCTCTCCTTCTTCCAGTCGTAGAACTCTTGACAACGATGACCGTAAGCACGGGGCTTACCACAAAAGTTGCAGGTTTTGGGATCAGAGGATGAGGAATTCATAGAATACGGAGCAGCAGTAGTAGCCCGGTTAGGCTTGTTGTCAGAGCCAAAGTGCTTCAATCTTGACTTACAGTCAATGGTGTTGTGGTTGGCATTGCTCCCGCCATGCTTCGCACAGAAATACCCAGTGGCAGATACCCTTGCCATCTTTGTTCTCGAACCAGAACCACCAGAACCACCCTTACACTTACCTCTGATGTCGACCTCAACATCATCATCACCACGATTTTGCTCGTCAACAAGGAACAAAGGCAACACACACTCATAGATCTCGTTGATAGTCCATTTGTGGTTGGAACCATGCTTGACGGACATTTGGTTGACCATCATTTGCTGATTCTTGCGTAACAGCGTGAACTGATAGAACTTGGCTAACATGTTGCTGTTAGGAGGGAAGCCACAATCCTTGACGTACTTCATGAACTTATTCGTATAGTCCTGTAGAGTATCTTTGTTCTTCATGCGCATGCTGAAGAGTTTGGCCATGGATTCCTCAGAGTTGATGGGAGCACCAAAATGTTTGCGGAACAATGCCTTGGCTTGATCCCAATCATTGCATGCCAGAAGATCATTCTTGGTCCATGATTCGAAGTCAAATGGCAGTGAAACAGGCACGTAGCGTTTCCAAACCAAATTTACTTCATTACCGGATGCTCTGATGACGTTCTCAAAAGCACTGAAGAAATGATCGACTGTGGTGAATCTTGGATGGTCAGGCCAATGCTTAGCTTGTCCTACCACCTGGAAACGGGGGATCTCATTGAGATTGACAGGTCTTGCTTTGGAATCAGCCCTCTTAGTAATCGCATTGACTTGCTTGCTGAGCCATTCGATAGACGCAGATGCTTCATCAGCCGCCAAGCGTTCTTCCTCAGTGTAAGTATCACCAGCGTTACGATGGATCTGATCCAAGCGAGCCTGAGCAGTGTCAATCTTCTTGAGAAGATGATCAACTGCAGAAAGTTGAGCGTGCTCATCCACTTGCATAGATGAGTCATAAGGAGAAGAAACACGGATAGAGTCTTGAGCAATATCCTCTTGAGTGTTTTCGGTAGCGTTGTATTGGTTGTGAGACATGATAAAAATAGTTTTTAAAGTAGAATAATAAAATGTAGAGTATAAGATAAAGTGTAAAAGTGATAACCTTTGAGTTGAAAAAAATGTGGAATTTGAGGCTTTACAGACTAAAATTCACGGAAAAAAAAGAATAAAAAACAGTAATGTCAACTTGATAAAGGTATATTTTATTATCAAACTGACAGGTGTAAAGTAAACTGAAGTCTCTCTACTGGCCAGGTAGATGATCCTTCTTATATACTATAACAATGGATAAAAGTTCTATTAATTAGATTGACAAATAAGTCAACTCAGATCAACTAATGTCTAATCATGCTAAAAGACAACTCCAGCAAGCTAATCATGATTTAGCTCTGTCTGGATGAATAATTAGACTCTCATCCGAAGTACCCTGATCTATCCTTTCCATAAGGATAATTAATATCGATCTAGTAGCATGTATCCGATAGGTACAGTCTTCTTAGTCTATATTAATAGTACATATCTGAGTGTATATCGCTAAGCATACATCTTTAGCATGTATCTGGATATATGGCATGTCTATAGCATATCGTATGCATGTCTATAGCATGTCTCATATATAGTACAAGTCTGTAGTACATAAAGTATCTGTAGCTAGTATCACGGATATAAGCATGTGTCTTATAGCGTGGATCATGAAGTGCACATCTGAAGCAACAAGCTCATATTGCATTAATCTTGGTGCCTATCCAGATATGGTAAACATCCGTAGTTAATGTCGGAATACAAGTATAAGTCTATAGTGCCATCCATGTCCGTGGTGCCATCTATAGCCTATATCTTATATAGTATGAATCTTATAGTACTAGCGTATCTGAAGTCCATATCTTCTCATGATCATAGTATAAATCGATATCGTACATCTAATCCAGTGTACATACAGTTTATATCTAAATCTGGTAACTGGATGAACTGTCGGAATGCAGATCATAGTGGATGTATTCCACACTGCACACTCTCTATATCTACTTCCATTTATATCTCGATCAGATCTCAAATTACATATACTACCTAAACGTATTAGCATATGATAAAATATATAAGGAAAGATGGCCGAGTTGGTCTAAGGCGTCACGTTAAGGTCGTGATCTCTTCGGAGGCGTGGGTTCAAATCCCACTCTTTTCACTTTTATTTTTGGTTCAGTTTTGCTTACGTAAGCGATTGTCGTGACTAAAGTGTCAGGTACACATAGTCTTTGTGTGTAATCTTTTAATTTAGTATAAATATCAAATCAGTTTGCAAAACAATAAAGATCATCTTTTATCTCAACTCTATTCTTTTGTATACATTTGCCAAGGTCTACTCAATAATCATATCTCTATACACACAACAACGACAGTTGCTTATATAAGCAAAATCGAATCAAAAATAAAAGTGAAAAGAGTGGGATTTGAACCCACGCCTCCGAAGAGATCACGACCTTAACGTGACGCCTTAGACCAACTCGGCCATCTTTCCTTTTGTATTTGTCATCTTGTAAAATGGATCCAATATGTAAAACTAACAGAGAAATAGAGTGTAACTAATACTTAGTGATTATGTTGAAAGATGCTGTTTATTGAATGCATTTAAAAGTTATATTTATACTATTTCTACGATCGATAATTACTTAATCAATGGAACTTTCGAGTAGATATAGTACTTGATATAGCAACTGATAATCAGATCAATGCCTGCTATCAGTTTCCAGAACCGTCGAGTATACGCTGGCGCCTTTTAGTCGCTTTCTTCAAATTTGGCTTAAACCTAAATTTAGGCACTACATATTTGTTAGATGCTTATATATAGAGATAGTATATGCAATCTGAGATCTGATCGAGATATATAAGGAAGTAGATATGAAGAGTGTGCAGGAAGATTTTATAGCCTTTTAGTTGAATGGATAAAAAGGTGTCTTTATTACTATTAGATTTGGATATTGGTTTTATCCAATATAGTTTGTGTAATGTTGTGTGCTATCCAGGTTATTCGCTGTTTGATGTTCCTGGTAGCTGGCACTCTAGGTTTAAACCTGCACTTCTTATTCTTGTTTGTGTTTAGCCTGTCAATGATATCCTGCAGATTTAAATCACTGTCAGAATACCCTTCAACCCTGACATATTTTTACCATCTTTGTAAGTATATCTAATTTATAGTTAATCTATAGAAAAATTTATGGAGTGTCAACAAAATATAGTAGTTAGTTATAGAATGTAACTTGTGTAACGAGAATTTAATTGTGTTGAAAGAAGATGTTTATCGAATACAATGTAGCTTATACCTATACTATTTCTAAGGTCAATAATTACTAATTCATGGAGCTTTCGAGTAGCCATGATACTCGATAGAACAACTAAAATCAGGTCGATATCTGATATCAGTCTCCACCATGCCAGAACCTTAGAGCATACGCTGGCGCCTTTTAGTCGCTTTTTTCACATTCGGCTTAAACCCAAGTCTGGGCACGACAATTTTATGAAACTGCATGTATATTATAGAGAAACACACGTTATACGGAAGAAGCTTAAGAGAGTATCACGTGATATTCGTGGTCTGTAAGCTTTGATCATATAATAGATGGAAGCACATTGACACATGTAAGAGATCACTTTTAACGAGGTAGGTAATAATAATCTTCCGAAAAGTAGAAAACGGAAATAATTTAAGCTTCTAAAGAGGCCACAAGAATTGGATTTGCCAAAAAAGCTGGCGAATGCAAAGCCATTAGGTATACGTTGCCCAAACGGCGTCATTGTTGTCAACAAATAACATACTGTCGATGAACTTCCAGCTTATAATCACTCCATTTCTAAACATCATTTGCGAAGAGCATCTTTATACGAAATTATGAATATAAAACTTAAGCAGAAGAGTATGATGCTGCAACTGTTTTTGAGACTTTCAACAAAAGTAACATTTGGTTACGGTAAGTATATAGAATCATGACAAGAAAGCTGAGCGCGGTCGTGCTCTTCAATCAGTCGTATTTAGATTTTACTAATAGATAGCAAGTCAACAATATATATTGATCTTCCAAGGCGCTACAGGCATAATCTTGATTGAATTCAGTCATGGATAATTAGATGGCGCCATCTTGGCAAGGATAGCATACTACTGACGAATGTAACTAAGTTCCTGCATTTGATGCTTTCAGCACTTATTCTGATCTACTTCTCTCTACAAATTACACCTTATTTCACAACTTTTTGTTCATCTTTGCATATCAATTTGGCAACGTGGAGACACCCTTTTCATCCGGCGAATCATTGGTAGATCGTATCGCCTTAGCTGTGTAATAGAAGTTAATTTGCCTTTTAAAGAATACAAAAAACATCAAGATGCGATCAGTTGCCAGAAATGCTTAAAGAAGACGCTAATCGTAAAGTATTTATTAACGAGGGGAAACACAACAAGGTGTATTCAACAGCTTTGACATATGATAAGTGAAGTTAAATTAAACTAATAGTCCTCTTCTATAAGAATATGTATACCAGATCAGCATTGAGAAAGGCCATCATAGAAAATACAAAAGATAGAATATATATAATCGTTAGAATACATGAAGCATAACAAAAGCATTCATCTCTTTCGTTTCTTCATGGACTGAAGAGAATATTGTTGCTCTTGAGACTGATAGATAGATGTTAGATGTTGTTGCTGCTGTTGATACCCTTCATTATGCATTAATCCGATAGGCGGGGGCAAATGATTCACATTTGGCGTAGAAGGTGATACCATGCCATGGTGGTGGTGGTGGTGGTGGTGGTGAGAAGAAGCGGAAGAGGAGGAAGAAGTAGGAGGGTGATGATGATATGATGCATTTGTAGTGGCATCTGTCGGCAAAGCTGCTGAAAGATTGTGTATAGAAGGTAGTCTATTGTTATAATTACTACTATTATTGCTGTTATTGTCATTGCTTTTGGTCAAAAAATTATTGACTGCAACCGGATCTAGCTCTTGCACAGGAAATTGGGATTGCAGGATGGTTTTCAACATGTCTTCAATTGCTTTTAATCTATCCTCGATGGCTTCCAGAGCTGCTTTCGAAGGTCCGCCATGAGTTCGTTTATCATCCATTTGTGAAGCTGTTGGATAAATACAGGCGGCATTTGACTTTTGACAATTTCTACATGGTTGCTCTCCATTGCACTTTGTCTTTTTACGACGACATTCTCCACATGCACTCATAATTTTGGCTCGTTTTTTCCGAGGTTCAGTTGTTGCATTGGATGTATTAGTAGCCAAATGTTGTGGTGTTGATTGATGTTGCTGTTGTTGCGTTGTATCTTGCGGCATACTAGATATTGAAGATTGAAAAGAGAGAGAGAGAGAGAGAGAGAGAGAGAGAATGGGAGAAAATTGTTCGTAAATGAAAAAGGTAAAGGAAAGGAGGTTCAATATTATAGATAATATTAAAAAAAAGAGAGGAGAAGGGAGAGGTGTAAAAAGATGGAAGGGGACAATATATATGGATATATATAATGTATGTAATAAGATAGGTAAAAGAGAAAGAAGGGGAATGGAGATATTGAGGATTGAAAGAGGAGAGAGGCGAGACACAGAGGGGCGGGGAAAACAAAAATACAAAAAAAGACAGGAGGGGGGAAAGAATCGGAAAAAGATAAATGTATTCAATTTACTATTGTTATTGGCCAAATCGGGATAAAGCACGGTATACAATGGAAGTGGAATACATTGCACCACAAGAAGGTATATTTTCATCATAGTCGTTGCCATGGAAACGGATTACCTGTCATTCTTAGTTCTCATGGAGCTTCTGCATCTATGTTTGGTCTAGATATGTATAACCTCATCTACAGGGTCGTGTAGATCCATAATCACAGACTCATCTATTTTATGAGAGTCAGTGATTTAAAGCCAATGTTTGAAGTTCTCTCGTCCTACACAAGCTATCCGGATCAGTGAATTCCGTGCTGCTCTAGCTGCAAATGTTGCTTTCTCTCCAATCTCCATCACATGATCTCAAGTACATTACGGGGTCATATTTCGATTGATATCTGAACTATGAAAAGAACGTAAAATGCTGAGCATTTCTCAATTGAAATGTCATACTTTCATTTCTTTCTCATATGGATTTCATTGAGCGTAATAATAGCACAAATGGCAGCGGAAGTAGCACCGATAGCAGCAGCAGCGATAGCAATGAAAGCCTAACTTTAGATAAAGATTCTATCATGGCACAACAACAAAATTACCGTCCATTATCTTGTATGCCACCTAGCAACTCGAGTCAAAATAACAAGAAAAACTCAATCCAAGACAGACTGAACAACATATTCTACACGACGTCTCCAATGCTGGCAGATAGTACATCTATGAATGTTGCTGCATTAACAAAGCAGCACATGACTCGTGCCTCGCAAATGTCCAACAGCGGAGGCACTGTAGCATCTCTAATGGCAAAAACGAAGCAAGTGCAACTGCCTTATGTCATTCATGATTACTCGTCTCATTCAGGCTCATATCATCCTCAACATATCATGGTCAATAAGCCGACACAGCAAGCATCAAGGTGGTCGAGTGGATTGCATGATCATGAACAGTTTGTCACCATCAAATTCGAGAAACCAATAGTGGCTCGTAAGTTTTTCTCCAATTTTCGGGAACTTTTTCTCCAACTGTAACACATAGGTACCATTACATTCGGTAAATTCCACAAGGGCCACGTCTGTAATCTAAAAGAGTTCAAGGTCTTTGGTGGCATGAATCCTAAAGATGACATGATCGAGATTTTACACAATGGTCTCAAGAATGACACTGAGCCGGAGACATTTGCGTTGAAGCACCAGCATGGAAACATGGTATTTATACAAAAATGACATGTCAGTAGACCGTTTCGTCATTAATATAAATTAATTAGATATTCCCAGTACGATACATAAAAATCGTGCCACTTTCAGCATTTGGCGCAAATTTCAATTATAGTATATGGTATGTTGGTGTTCGAGGGATAAATCAGGACAACGTCATTCAGCGTGTATGCACAGAATATGAAAATGTAAGTTAAAAGTTGGGCATTTCGATGGCTGGACCCACTACATGTGTTTTGCAAATTGAGCGCCTTGTCAATGTTTCTTTATACAACAAAATGCCAATGGGTTGATCGAGTACCTATATTTCTATATCAAAATGAACAGCAAGCAGACGGATCAAATATCAGACAGTTCTCAAGCACGCTCAACTATTGAATTATGCAGCTTAAATCGCATTAGAAAATTCTTGGAAACAAACAAAAAGACACATGTGTGGGGCTAGTTTTTATCAGGCATTATTCTAACTTGAAAATAGTTTAGAGAGACTGAAACAACTCGTTTATGCTTGAAATACTTTCGCCAAAAGAACATGATGGATGTATTCCACATTTTGAAAAACAGAACCGGCGTCGAGTTGGAGCACCCTCTTATATCAGAACTACATCGCTATCTAGTCGTTGATGCCAACTTTGCAGCCGCTGAGAAAGTCTTGGATACAGCATATCAGCGCAATATATACCATCCCTACTCGGATAGTGTCACATACACACCCATATGGAGACAGATTCAAGCTTCAGATGAAGATGGCGAAGCGCCTTGTGCGAGGGGTGGTCATCAAATGTGCATCGACGTACAAGACAGAATGATTTACATATTCGGCGGCTGGGATGGCAGACGAGATTTATCGGATTTCTGGTGCTATAATATACACAAGAATCAATGGACGCTACTGAGCATGGACACCCAAATGCAAGGCGGACCAAGTCCTCGGTCATGCCACAAGTTATGTCTTGATCCAGTCAGTAGATCCATATTTGTTTTGGGCAGATATGTGGAATCTCCACCAAACGCAAGCCAGACATTGGAGTCTGATTTCTATCGCTATTACATTGAATTTGATCAATGGGTAAAGATCAATGAAAATACGTCAGAAGCAGGCGGCCCAGAGTTGATTTACGATCATCAAATGTGTGTGGATCCTGAGGGCGAAATGTTGTATGTGTTTGGAGGTAGAACAGTTACTGGAGACACCAATATACAAAACTACAGCGGATTTTATTCATTTAATATCAAAACTAGTCATTGGGAGCTTGTGAGGTGAGACGGCTTCATTGGTAGAAGCCTCTGGACTAACAGGTACTGTGTAGAAATGACGACCTGAAGCCTTCTGCAACAGTGGATGCAATGAAACAAACCTCAGCATTATTGAAATCCCGGGTTGGTCATTCTATGTTATTTGACCAGAGCAATAGATCGTTATACGTGTTTGCTGGCCAGCGAGGAAAGGACTATTTGTCTGATCTCTATCGATATCAGGTGGATACAGATTTTGTTACAGAGATTGTTCAAGATTACTCCAAAGATGCTGGCCCCGATGCAGGTTTTACTCAACGAGCGACGATAGATGAAGACTTGCAGGAGCTGTATGTATTATCAGGATACATGCGCAACTCTGGTGGCGATGTTGTCAGAAACACACTCTGGGTCTATTCTATCAAAAGAAACGAATGGCAAAAGGTGTTTCAGAATGAAAACAGAGATTCTGAATGTTGGGGACGCAGCAGCAAGCTTGAGCCAGGTCCTCGGTTTGCACACCAGATGGTATATGACCCTGTCAGCAAGAGACAGTATATATTCGGCGGTAATCCAGGCGACAATACAGACACGACAAAGCGATTAGACGATTTCTGGGAACTTGTGCTGTCAAAGTAAGTGAACAGTGCATAAAATAGATAGATGGCACTGATACTGCTATAGACCAGATCCCTCCTCCATCTTGCGAAAGAGCTACTACATGATTCGAATGCAGAGGTTAAAGGAACTATGTAGCAAAATATGCAATCGGCAACGCCATCACACTGATGAAGACAATGCTGACACAATGATTGCGTTGGAATACCTGAGAAATCAAGTTGCACCCGTTGTCAATCATGAGAACGAAGTAGAATCAAACGAATTCCATCAAATCTGTGCCAATTTATGCTTACTAGAGACATTGAATGATGACGGGGAGCAAGACGATGGCAGAGACTCCTTCATTTTCGATATTGTTAAATCAGAAGGTGAGGCCAAAGAGCTGTACTTATTTGTTAATATAGACTTTCTGAAATATTTTGTTTGTTATACTAGATGCTTTGTATCTAGAAAGAACCAAGTTATTTGAGAAGTTATTAGAATACATTCCTCAAGATATGAAAGAGCCTTTGGGAAAACTAACAAATGCTGTCAGGATGGTATAAAATCTGCTTTTGTATGCATTATTCTATTTCCTCTCTCTCTCTCTCTCTCTCCCTTCTTCGTCCATAATAAAACATTTGAAAATTACAAAATGATCACTGATCCAGCCTTGAAAAACAAAATGATCCTCATTCACGGTGTCATGATGGCCTTTGTGTGGCTGATTGCTGTGCCAAGCGCTATATTGCTGAGCATGTATGCAAGAAAAAAGAAGAAGCCTTGGGGCCCAAAAGTGCACATGTTGATCATGGCTTCAGCAGCATTCATACCATATACTGTGTCAGCTATTCTGGCATTCACAGTGGCAGGTCAAATCAACCCCAAGCCGCATTCAGTGAGTATGACAAGTGTAGAGTGTAACATTTTGCTGATTCTTACCATTAGAGCATTGGCACTGTCCTATCCGTTGGCTTATGGTGCCAAGTAACATTGGGTGTGGTGAATCACCTCGTATTCAGATATAGACGGAAGAATAATTGCCTACCCAATAAAAGACCATGGAACAACTATGTTCATATATGGCTTGGCTCTATTCTGGCCGTTTTAGCATTGGTCAATATACCATTGGGCATGAGAATCAAGAGAGCGCCCATGTCCTTCTTCATTGGATACGCTGTATGGGTTACTGTCCTTGCTAGTGCGTATCTGTACTTGACTTGGATGAAGGAGGAAGCGACTCACGCATCCATTGAGCACAAGACACATCCTGAAGAGATTAAAATTGCCAATGAAACCAAATAATAAACTATTGTGTCCAAATGTAAATGGCCAAGTAATCATGAATCAATTGAAAGCCAGTTTTTTTTTTTTTGATATAAATAGCTGCAACTGTTTCTTGTGGGTCTCTCTTTTTTTTTTTTTGTTTTGTTTTCTCTCTCTCTCTGCATAGAGTTACAAACAATCAGGAATGTCAACCGTATTGACAGAAACCGCTGGCCAGCCAATATTACAGCTGAATACGACGAAATACATATCCAACTTCACCACAATAGAGACATCAGCAGAGATTTCAAAAAGAAGCAGGGCGGATGAAGTCAAAAGTAGCAACTCTAACACACTTTCACATGCTTTCCTAACAGCCATCCTATATACATTACATTTCATATACATATCATTCATTGCGTTCAAATCATTATACTCATATCTAGAAAACCTATTCAGAAACACTCATCAAAACCAACATGATATCCATCAACGTATACAGTTTGATAAAACACAATTAACAAAGATACCAGAGCACCTCACTATCAATGTGTCAAGGGAATTAGCCAGCACAAGGTCATGTAAGGAATGGGAAAAGCTCATGTATGATATATCCATGTCAACATGCTGGGCTTGGGATTTTGGTATCAAGGAGGTGTCTGTGTACGATGCATCTGGCATCATGAAATCAGTGTCAGTTGATTTGTACAAACAACAGTCTACCATCTTACATGATTACATGATCAAATACAACAAAGGAGAGAAAATCAGACCAGGTACGATGTCTTTGGGCTGCCAATGTGTGTCATCCACGATATTGACTCTTTTACGACCTGCAGCTCTTAAATTCTCCATTCTATCCGTTGAAAATGGCAAACAGCACATGGGACAAGTGGTGCAAGAAATGGCAAAGGACCATCCTGATACAATCGATATCCCATTAGTGGATCACTACATGCACAGTAAGCGAATGCTCGAAAAAATGCTGTTAATTATGTATTAATTAAATATTTTAGTGGACTCTGTGTCTGATCCTGACTTGATGATACTGTACGATGGCCTTCCACATAACTATGTTTCATTGGATGGCTATCCTCCTTGGCATATACGTTTGACTGAAATTGCAAATTGTTCAAATTACCATCATTTGAACTATCATGTGTTTTCCAAAAGCTTGTATAGATTCTCAAAAGTAGAGCAGCGATTTGGTCATTAAAACATGGACAGTTTATTTCTTTTTATTGTTGTTGTCAAATAATAAACCACCAATCAGTTTGTTGAGCGATTTCTTTTCTTTCGTGGGATGCTGTTTCTCTTGGAATGAACTTGATCTGCTCGCTGTGTATTTGGTACTGTCCGCAAATTCGTCTGTGAGGAATCGAAGCCCCTGAATGTAGTGTGAAAAATGAATACAATTTCCGCAATTGCAGTTTTCTTGATCTTGCTCAGTCTTGATATTATGATTCTGATGTACGCTGCAGAAATTGCATTGTGTTGTGCCGTGTTGATGTCTCATCGCCTCTTCACAAAGAAGACAGGGACACGCTTCGTTGTTTTTGATCAGTCGATGCTCGTCGTAGCTTTTGTATAGATGCAATGCGTCTGTTTGAAAGTAGGCTTTGGCTTGATTCAGGTTGGAGAGAAACATGTCTGCTCTTTTCTTATTGCTAAAGTGCAACGGCGGGAGGATTTTGCTTTTAAGCGTATAGATTGTATTAGCAGTTGTGGCGTTGGATGGCGATGATCGCTTGGATATGTCTTCTGGTACACTAATGACACTGGAGTTTTCACTGTTGTTGGCTGTGGTGATCAGATGCTTGGGTGAAGGAGGCGGAAACACGTACGATTTGGCAAGGTGACTACAGGCAACAATAAATTCATCAGAGCATGAATAGGTTGGAAATAATTGATTGAACAATGCTGTATAATCCATCTTCATTCTATGAAATGCTGCTTCATCTCCAATGTCAAAGCACTTTTCCGTCCTCTTTCTCAATTCCTTCTCCCATGACGTATCGTTGAACAGCTTGCACAGATAGTGAATGTCGTTATGCAGTTGTTGACTATCGCTCTTTATGCTTTGACATAGTTCGTTGAATTGGGGTATCCAGACTTCGTCCGCTGATTGTGCAATGTCGCCGATAATCATCTTTAGATTCTCCCTCAATTGCGGTCGGTTGGTTTCCAGCATTCGTTTAGATTGTACCTCATTTTTCAGCTGCTGCAGTTTTTCAGTGATCTGACCGCATGTATCTTTGATCCAAGCATTGTTCTCTTCAAGACTTTTACGACCCTTGGTCATCAATGCACCTGTGTCGGACTCCTTGTTTATCTTCTGAGTGTAGGTTTCTGCAATGTCTTTGCTGGTTTGATCCAATATACTACGGATATGGTCAATTTCGTTCTCTTGGGATAGTTGAGTCGCATCAAATTCTACGCCTGCTTCTTTGGCCAATCGAACAATGTTTTCTTCTAGCTGTGTCGTATCAAATTCATCCAGTTGCAACTTGCTGTCAGGATTTGCTGGTAACGCTTTATCTATATTCAAAGGTCTTTTATTCATATCAGCACCTTCTAAGCCTATGCATATATATGTATATATATACACACACACACAACATTTGAAGAAAGGTTATCACCACGTGCAGTAAGGTTCTACAAAATTTAAAAAAAGATTACCATCATAAACGCTTGTTGATTTCCTGATTCTTTCAGCGTTTGGGTTTGGCTTTGCACTGTTTATGATGAGGCTTTTTCGTCGCTGATGAACCATCAAGTTGGACACATCTGACTCTTGTGGTTGAGGCAGTGGTTGCTGATGAATCTCTCTCGATTTGGCAACAGAGTCGAATTTCTCACTGGATTTCCAGTCTGGTTTTGATAGTTTCTCAACAGCATTAGCCAACTCTTTCTTTTTCTTTTTGTTCTGGTATCCTTTTCCGGTTTGTAAGTAAATACCAGTCCAAAGAGAAAGAAGTGCATTCTTTTCATACCTGAAAACATGATGGCCTCCTCAATAAAACCAAAAGAAAACAGGAAAAAAAAAGAGGAAGGGCTAATAAAAAGAAAAAAGAACTTTAATGAAAAGGCATATAAATAAATGCTCTTTGTTACATTTCGGCCGAGCCACACTAGCTGATAGTTACATTTTTGGATCTATGTAAAGAAACTGATGACCAGCGACCACATACATGCTAAACTAGCCTGATGTCCAACATACGGTCAGTACCATCAAATGCTTTATTTTGATGGTAAATGTATTGATACCGAGGATAAATCGAATGGCAATGTATTCATAGCCTCACGTGTAGGTGCTGCTCTATCAAAGTGTACCTGAAATGCTATCACTGGCCAATCAGACTGGCTTTGTTGTTGCCAGAACATCGACCATATTGAGTGTACATGGATAAGATTAACGTACAGGGCTATGACCTAAATTACCATATCATAGCCATTTTACCAAAACAGAGATTCGAGATGTATTTTATAGACCAGAATTACCAGAAATGCCTACCTTGATGATAAGTTTTGCATTCATGAGAGTCTGCGTTGAACATGGCCAAAGTTAATTTGACATTACAACAACTATCTATCGAAATTTAAAATGCTTGAATACAGAAAGCAATCTACAGGCATCCTAATGTTCATTTTCATATAGAAAAGCGGGATAAGGGCCAAGTATGTTAAGTTCTTTTGGGAGATGAAGTCAAACAGACAATTGTACCTGGGTTTGTGCAACTTTGTCTCACCTAGTTTGCTTTGTTTGGCTATCCGATCTTCGCCATTCTCTTTGTGAGAATGATTAAATGAAAAACTTTAATCGAAGCAGCCTACAAATAGCATTACAAAGAGCAAATATCAGAATGAATTACTTATTAGCACTTGAGAATATTTGGTTTTGACACACAGTATGAGATTCAATTATTAGGCTTTAGAGCATCTCGCATCTCTTTGAAGAACTAAATAAGGACCATCAAAGAGGAGAAACGTTTCATCACGGTCAAAGTCTTATATACGAGTAATCCAGAGTCATCGCTTATCAATTTCAATAACAGGTCCAACGGGTATTAAAATGCACTTCACTCATAAAGAGCGAAATCTCTTGTCTAACATCATCTCGTCCCTTTTTTCATTACTTTCTCACACTCTTTTTTTTTCCCTCTGATATATCAATTAAACATGTCTACAGAACTCAAATCATCACAGAACAAACAGCAAACGCCACTGTTATACACAAAAGAGCGCTTATTGAAACTATATGGTGTCGATCTTATTGCAGCTGTTTCATCGGCTGCCATGGTTTCCCCCTTTATCGCTGTGGTCGACAGGTAAGCGAGCGATGCCCGGTGTCATTTATCTTGATCCTGCCATACTTACGGCTTGAAATGTACAGATCTATCATTGAAAACCTGAATGGCAAGCGTAAGCTGGTAGACGGTTTGAAATTTGGCCTCAAATCATTCGCATCACATCCATTTCACTTCACAACATCCCGACAATTTGGCATTGTGCTTGGTCTCTACTTCTCAACATACGCTACCGCCAACATTGTAGACACAACCTGCGAACAATACTCTGTAGATGCATCTAAGACACCCCTCTACAAGTTTGCTGCCACCTCTATTGTGAACATCTTCCTCTGTGTGTACAAGGACAAGGTGTTTGCCAGTATGTTTGGTGTGTCTGCCAGCAAAGCGCTCCCAAAATTGAGTTATCTGCTATTCGCAGCTAGAGATTCTCTTACGATTGCAGCTAGTTTTACTGCTCCAGCTTACATTGCCAACGCTCTTCAAAATAACTCTATTGTATCGAGCGAGAAATCTGCCAATGTGGTCGCACAGCTTGTATGCCCTGCAGCAGTTCAATTGGCAAGCACACCTGTACACTTGTATGCACTCGATCTGTACAATAGACCTGGCGCTTCCCTCGCCATGAGAGGTCAATTGATCAAGAAGGAATACGTAAAGAGTACGCTCGCTAGAATTGGACGTATCGGTCCTGCTTTCGGAATTGGAGGCGTGGGAAATACTTTCTTTAGAAGCTATAGAACTTTGATCTAATGTAACTGAATGTGTAATCTGTGCTGAATACCGACGACCGTATAGAGTTCCTCGTTGCACTGTATTTTTAAATCATTATAACGTAATAAATTTATTGTCCCTACACACTTTCAAACCTCAAAAAGGAAAGAAGTTGATCTTACAAGTATTTCGGTGGATGGGTGTTATTAGACGCCAGACTTCAAAAAAAAAGTATCTCTAAAGATAGTACTATGTACTTTGCCACCTATTTTTCATTGGCTTCAAAAGGATCTAGTATTGCCTTCATGATTAGAAGGGCATTGAGTTTGCCAGCCGGCCCCACCAGCCAAAACTAATTCCAGCTCAGACTCATAGTTTAATTGGGATTGGCCAAATTTCGAAAATTTTCGACTTGATTGAACTGTTTTTAAATATTCGACTATATAAAAAGTGATAATCATCCCATACTTCTTTAAGTTGTCCCTGGTGGTAGGGCGAAGTGGTAAAACTCCCGTATGCCAACGGGAGGATCCCGGTTCAAATCCTGGTGAACGCAAGTTGTTTTAATTTTTTGACGTAGTACTGATGTCCTCGTTTGGTGTTTTGTACTCTATCCATTATCTATATTTTGACGATTTCCGCAAGACTGTATTGGCTCTAGGTGTCGCACCTTATTAGTAGTAGATTTCTTTCCCAACTTAGTTCAAAAATATCTTATTCCCCTTCATTGCAGACATTGGGTCCACCAACAGTCTTTTCTATCATTCAGTATGACATTTAAAGGACTTTAAATAAAACCTGAAGCTCGACTACCGTACAAAAAAAAATACTTCGTTGAGCTTTCTTGGAGTGCTTTTCAAGGCGCATCCAACGGTACCAAGTAATATAGATGTTTTGAATAAACTTATTGAGCAATTCATGAAAATATGAAAAGAGGTTTTTGGCCAAAAAGTCGAGATTTTACATATCAAGGTCCCACAAAGATGATTTCAGGGATTGCATTGGATTGTTAGAAGCATTTTGAGTTAATACATGCTATAGTAAAACTCTTCATCATCAGGGTCAAAAACGCGATCGTTTGATTTTCGATGAATTTTTTTTTTTTTTTTTGTATGGATGTTGCTTATTTATTAGTAAATATACGAATATAATAAGAACATCAAATGATGGACAAGTGCATATAACAAAGTGACTTGCCATATATAAATCTATTGAAACTACTACTAATATTAATGCTTGAGATCTTACAATCTCATCACTTCAGCACAGATCGTGTTGGTGACATTGTTGGTATCAAAAGGCACTCCTTCGAATGTTAGTAGGAGGTGGAATCTCCATATCATACGAATGGTGGCAGCAAACAGGTCGAAGATTGTAATCTTGATATCTAAGTTGTAGATGAAGTATTGCTTCAGGTTCAAATTGACTATGGATTGGTATACTTGCTGTGGATTAGCAGCTTTGGGGTATCCCAGGAATTGTTCAAAGATGTCGGACCAAATGTCGTTTTTGTGGGGGCAGCTAACCATGAGATGTTTGGCATCTTCAGTATCATTGCAGAGGGTACATCATCTTCGGCGTTCCTCAGTCGTCGAACGAAAAGAGCTGATTTACTTGGGCATTGCTTATGGATCATTCTATACCAGACATTTCTCACAGAGTGGTGCATGTTTTGATGATAGAAGTGTTTCCACTGGACTTTGCTGATGGTATGATTGAACTTTCGTCCAACATCAAGGTTGTCTATGTCCAGCATAATTGATCTCAAGTCTTTGTTCGTCATTCGAAGCATTGGGGCGATCTTGGTAATTAAGCATAGCAACGAAAGGCTGTAGATCTAGATGAGCCTCCATGTTTCTTGTATCCGCAAAGGATTTCAATTTGATGTTCCCACAAAGAAGACCTCTTTCTATCTGGTTCCTGATGTTTGATCGCTTGCATTCACTTCTTGACTTTAGCTGCAGAGTACTTGTTTCCTGATCGATGGGGAAGAAGTCGTGAACTTTGCTCTCCCTGATCGAGTCTCTGCTTGTATATCCCATAGCTACTTCCTCATTGTCAAAATCAAGAATTTCCAGCACTGGCAATGACAAGAGTGTCATGACATTTGGTTTGACAGACCAAGCGAGTGAGAGTGGAGAGTGCTTCATACAAGTATCTATTGCCTCGAACATCATGTAATAAGGGTGAAAGCCTCTTAACTGGTTTTTGTATCTAGCCGTTTTGAACAGTATAGGGATTATGTGCGATGGTGAGTCGTGAGACATCTTCAAATAATCCACTAGTAACCTATAAGTGAGACCAGGTATGTTGTTGCTGTTTTCTGTTAGCAAAGCGTTCAGATATCTGAATTGCAGAACCTTTTGTTGAGCCATTATATCAATCAGTCCTAAACCGCCTTACCTTGGTAGGAAGAGAGAATTGCCCTTTAGAGGTGGATGCAGGCCAGACATTACAAACTGATAAATGATTGAGGTTATCTTCTTGACTGTGTCTTTGGGCAGGGAAACGATCCGAATGACATGCCATAGTTTGGACAATATCATAGTGTTGGCAATATTCGCTTGGCCGTACAGTGAGACTTGCCGTGCTGCAAACCTTTCAACAGCAGTAGTAATATCACCCAGCAGTTTAGCAATGTATACGTCTCTTTGTTGATTGCAGAACCAAATTGGATAATCTAGGTATTTTATAATTCCTGTAGACGTAGAATCATACCAATTGATTTTGAGATTGTTTGTTGCATGATCTTGAATTAGGCCATCAGTTGGGCTTGTCATTCTTCCACCATGAAGAGGGAAGGCCACGGACTTGTCGTAGTTGATCTTGGAGTTCGAGGCCTTGTTGTAAGTTCTCAATCTTTCTTCCAGATCAAGAAGTTCAGTCCGAGACTTGACGAATGTCAGGACATCATCCGCATATGCGAATACTTTCAATGGAGGAGGAGCCACTCAACTATTTGTTCTCTTGCTTATAGGCTTGACGTGTTGGAGACTATACCCCGAGGTAGTTGTACTTTTGGTCACAGATAGCAGAAATGGTTCAATAGCCAAGTTGAACAGCATTGGTGATATACTGTCTCCTTGTCTGATGCCGCGTCTTTGCTCGATAAGATCTGTTAAAAAGCCATTGACATTCACTTAAATTGAGTTGTCGAAGAATAACTTGCAGATGCATTGGACAAACTGTTTTGGAAAACCAAACTTCACTAGGACCTTGGATATATACTGGGGATGTACCTTATCGTACGCTTTGGCGTTGTCCAGCATAATCCCAGCATATTCGACAAATTTTTCAGAATTGTTCCATCTTGCTTCACGTGCATTGTCTACAATCACTTTCAATGACATCCCATGGTCTCCAATGTATCTACCTCTCAAAAAACCACTTTGGTGGGGGCCTATAAGGTCACTTGCTACCTCTATGAATCGTGAGTTAAGTAGTCTGGTAAACACTTTGCAATCAGAGGCTATTGGGGTTATTGGATGGTAGTTGATGATCCATCCAAGACCATTTCATCTCTGGCATTAGTCTCTTGCTGTTTAATCTGCTTTTTACCAGGACCTTCGCTGCCCTCTACTGGAGGGGTAGAAGCCAGTTCATCAATAGATCGCTTGGGATGTTCCTCAGTAGGTTCATCTACACTCTTCTTGTGCCCAGAGTGTCGTAAGTTATATCTACTTACATTGTTCTGAACAACCTTAGGAGATTCCCCATCGCTATCTTCCTCGCTAGTAGACTTGACATACTCCTCATCACCAAAGGAATTATTGTCCTCCTCCTCGAGATGTCCATTGGGAGCATTCTCTTGTGAAAGGCTACCGGCCTGAGATTTCCAACCCTTGGATTCAGCAACCTGAGATTCACCATCCTGAGATTCACCATCCTGAGATTCACCATCATGAGAGCCATCTTTCTGAGATGCACCAACTTGAGATTTATTCATCTCCTCTTGATCCCTGTTATCAAAAACCTCTTCCATTTGCATATCCTTGCTGTCGTTCAAGTTGGTTGAATGTCCTTGGACGTTTTCAGCGTCGGAACCAGACTCTGGCTCGTCTGCTGAAGATACTTCCCCCTTGGAAAGTGCCTCATCATCGCTTGGGGATTTCGACGAAAGGGATGTAGCCTTCCTTTTCCCCTTCTTGTGGTTGAGGTACTTAGGAGGGTCCACATTCATTAGATCTAAAAGGTCAACCTTTCTACCTATAGGTTTAGGTTGGGCAACATTCTCTTGCTGGCGATGTTGACCTTGTTTGTTGTGATCATTAGTTTTCTTCACTCTATTCCATGAAGCTAATGGGCACCCGGCGATGAGATGTTCCAAGCTTCCGCATCGGAAACATGCTTTCCTCTTTGTCCGAGGACAATCAATTTTGATATGATCATCAGTGTGACAGTCTTGACAAATTGGGTTCATGTTACTCCAAACCAAATGTAGCTTCTCCTTGAAATTACCAAACTGGATCTGAGGGGTAAGTCCAGCTGCATAATTCTTTAATTTGTCCCTATTTAGAGTGACAAAACCGCCACCAGTAAACCAATTACCATCCTTGGTATAGCTAAGATCAAGATTGAGAATGTCCCCATATTTTTGGAAGGTCTCCACCATCAAAGGCTTCAAAACTTCTTCAGTTTTGTAAGGAAGCTCAGAGACACCTACTCTGAGGATGTTGGGATTTTTGTCCAAAGCATTGTTCACCTTGATTATCTTCCCTTGTAAGACGAGTTCCTTGTTCAGAGCCTTCTCGCAATCTTCCTGGCTTGGAAAATTGATTTCAATGACCTTATGGTTCTTGCCAACCATACGTGTTCTAATTCCCAATCCTTTGGAATAGTGATCTCGAAGACAAATGAGCAAGGGCTTCTCTCTGAATACCATCCCAGCAAATTGAGAACAATCAATGACGAGAGAGTAGTCATCTTTAGCTTCTACGAACGTTGAGTTGTAGTCCAAAGGTCTGCCAGTTGTGGAGGCGTTGTTGTCGATAGCTGGAGCAATGTTGAAGGTTGTTCGCTTCTGACTCTTGATAACTTGAAAAAGTGATGCATAGGTAAAAACGTTGTTGCCTGGATTATGGCTAGAATCCAGCGTGGAACCTCCATTACTGGAAATTCCACCTTTTTCTGCTATTTTGTGATCTTTAGCGGAAAAAGCCATGATTTTCGATGAAAACCATGAGGTACTGCCCATGATTTTTGGTCCTTTTTTGGCCATTTTTTTTTTTGGCCCAAAAAGTTGAGCAAAGGTGTCAGGAAGTTACTATTACTCGAATACAATTGTTTGGCGTCATTCCGGTGTCTCAGAAAGTTCTACATGTCAAGACATGAAGGCTTGAAAGCTGTCAAACTTGGTTATGTATTGCTTTATAGAATGTATTTACACGGCATAAATCACATCTTTGGTAGCTGTAATTTACTGGAAAGGCAGTTCTGTAACTTAAGCAATTTTTAATTCGAATAGGAGGCATATCGATTCTGGTAAAGCTGATTCATGCAAACTTTGATGCCTTATGTTGTTGGTAAGCTTATTGACAGTGTATATGAAAACCCGAATTTGCTGCTTGAATATTATGGTTTTGCACATTCGCTTCGCTACGGCAAACCCCTCTTATTATAGGCCAATATCATTAAATGTTGGGTTAGATGCTTAGTTGTCATGGTTTTTCACTTTCACTTCGCTGCGGTAAAACCGCCTCATCGGTCAATGTTACCAAATGATGAATTAGATGCGTTATGTTCTTGGTGGATGGGCTTAGTACCTCTTCCAAACCCCCCCTCCTCAATGCCGGCTTCGCCGGTAGTTTATTCACCTTGTACGGTACTCAATTCTTTAACTTTTTGAAAGGATATGATTTGTTTGTCTAATTTGTAAATGCTTTACAGTATATAATGACGGATGGATTAAACTCGTACGTTGTTTGGTGAGTGCATACCTATTTCTTAAAGCTGATACAAGCTATCATATCTACAGGCAAACCTAAGCTGCGATTGCTTTAAAAAACAATATAATTGACAGTACTGGTAGTGGCTTCAGCAGAGAGATACCATCCTGCCGCGGCCAGCAACACCCAGTGATAAGGATTTTGCCCAACCAAGATGATATGTTACTGCAGCAACCTTAACCTAAATCAAGTATAACGCTCAACATCAAAGTAACTCTACAACGTACATTTCTATCATTAAGCTAAATCATAATTTCTCTTGTTATTTGAGAACAGATACTTACTCTTTTTTACTAATTACTTTAATAGTGCTGTATCGCATTTCTTTTCGAATGAATCACGATAATGTTGATCAAGATCGATGATTTCCGAAAAGGCGCCCTCAAAACAAAGCATTATTCAGTTTACAGTAAAAGTCGTCTATAGCTGGCGCCATCAAGTGAGTCTTTGAAAGAGCTTTAAATGAAAGATAGAGCAAAAGAGCATGAATTAGAGCTTCGCAAGTAACTTGAGTTTAGGCCGAATTTGATCGATTGCTCTCTCCGTTGTTACTGGAATTTGGTATGCTTTCACAACAGGTACTGATCACAAAGTTTGGTCAACCCTGGGTAGCGACAAAGCAAAAAGCTATGCAGAGACCACTGATTAAAGAACAGCCTTACCTATTGTTTATATTCTTTTTGTATTTGTGCATAATTCTTACTAGAGTTCCTTTCTGGAGATGATGCTTAAAATCAATTACTAATGACAATGCATTTAAACTTACTCACGTATTGAAGCATTAGTTTATAGGCTTTGATAGCCATATGGATAAGCCGATGAAATTTGTGATCAATTTATAAAGTTATGTAGCGTGAATTTTTCATGTAAAGCTTTTGATTAGTACGCAAGTTGATGATAAAAGTACAAAGTAACTTTATAAGGTCAATATTCACCGAAGCCTTGTTCCGTTAATCAGACACAGACCAAGTATTACGAGTTTCGCATCAGCTTATCAAATAGTTTCTATTGTATTTGAGCATCTTGTTCATTGTTCGAGGTCAATCGTCTTCAGCGCAGTATTCTATGAGATTCATGCCATGCGTACATGTCAAGTTAACTTATGAAGTATGCTGTAAAACTCTTTACTTGTACAAAGATTACCTCATTTGCTTCCGTGTAACAAGACATATTGTATGGTTAGTACATGTCAAAAGGCAAACCTACATCAATTGCGCAATTTGCCGCGAAAATAGCTATATCTCTATAGAATTCTTGCCTGCGTTTGATGCAATAGTGTATGAGAAAAATCTCTGGTATGGAATTCCTTGTTTGTCCCGATAAGTTATTTGTATAGGAAACAATGCATGCTGTTTAATGAAAACAGCAGATTACTCACGACAGTGTTTGAACAAATCTCACACCCCATATAAGAAATATAATAAGAAGTAATCAAATTTCACAGGCGACTTCAATTGATGTGAATTTGACACAACTTGGTGCTGCTTGGTATCCTGGCTTCGTGCTCAGAAACCCGCAGTGTGGGTAGAAATCAAATCAAAATGAACATATATAAATCATTCAGATTTTCTTTCCTTCTTCTTCTGAAAGTAGTCTCTCAATCCCAACATTATGAATGAAAAAGAAGAGATACAACACGCAGAGTATGTCACCGACAAAGTTTCTCAAGCAGACGATGACTTTACAGAAAGAAGCGATAAGAATGAGCCAGCATTGGTGAAATCTCCTGAAGAAGCTGCATTTCTTCGCAAGCTGAATTGGACAGTCTTGCCATTGGTTTTCCTCATTGTTTGGATTCAAGTAGCAAAGAAGGTTACCCCCATAGACAATTTGAATACTTATAGATCTTGCATAGTTTTGCGACAAATCTTCATTGACAGTGGCTGCAATACTGGGTATCATGCAGGATACTGGCATAAATGGCTCTCAATACAGCTGGGTAGGCTCCATCTTTTATCTAGGTTACTTGGTTTGCCAGGTAAATATCATGCAATTGCGCATATACTGTATACCAATTGTATTTTGCATATTTCAAAAACAAAATTATTGATACACACTGTATTTTTTTTTGAAAACTTATCCAGGTACCGAACAATTATCTGATTCAAAGACTTCCAGTTGGCCGATATCTGGGCGCTGTGCTGATGCTTTGGGGATGTGTGATGGGAGCTACGGCTGCTTGCCACAACTTTGGTCAATTGCTTGCCCTGAGATTCTTGTTGGGCTTTCTGGAAGGTGTCACCTTTCCCTGTCTTTATATCGTACTGAACACTTTGTATCGTAAATCCGAACAATCAAGATGCTGGGGCTTTATCCATGTCGGTACAGGCCTAGGCACTGTCATAGGTGTGTCTATTTCTTCGGGCTTCTCTCAATTAGATGGTGTCAAAGGTCTTCGAGCCTGGCGATGGTAGGTAACTCCCTTCCAATGCTACTGCATCATGCACTAACTAGTTGTTTTCTGTTGCAAATAGGAGCTACATTATCTATGGCGTCATTACTGTCGCTATTGGTGTCTTGACCTTCTTCTGTTTGGTTGACGATCCTCACCACAAGCTTCTCAGATTGACCGAGAAAGAGAAGGAAATTGTCGAACAGAGATCAAATGACAATCGCGCAGTGCGAAACAAAGAAATCAAGAAAGAACAAATCTGGGAAGCCATTAAGGAAGTTCGCTTATGGATCTTCTTCTTTGTATTTTTTTTCAATTATCTTCAAAATGGCGGCATAATGACCTTCAGCACACTGCTCGTTCGAGGTCTTGGTTTCTCTGTAAGTTATGGGCATCAAAATGCCATGAAAATTGATACTAAAGTATACACAGCCTCGTACATCGATCCTCCTCCAAATACCTAATGGTATTGCAGCCGCCACTTTCGGCATGGGGTCCGTTATCATAGCTCATAGGATTAAAAGAAACACATTGATGGCCGTTATCACAGCTTCTGTATCTTTGCTGGGTTGCATTTTGCTGGCCGTCATTCCTGGTACACCCAAGTTGGTTGGTCTTTATATTAGCTGGGCTACGACAGGCACTGGCGCTCTTGCTCTAACTCTCGTCACCAACAATGTATCTGGCTACACCAAGAAGGTCTTCTATAATGCAATTGTTATTGTAGGCCAGAACCTTGGCAACTTTGTTGGCCCTCTTATTATGGTTCAAAAACAGGCACCTACTTATTGGGGAGGCAAGTGATCAACACCAACAAAAGAAAGAGAAATGCCATTAACCTGAATATCAATGTAGGCATTGCTGGCTTCTGTCTGGGCAATGCGCTCGTTATTATTTTGTTAGGTGCTTTGTATATTATGATGACGAGAGAAAACAAGCGTAGACTTGCTAATCCACCAGAGAATGCAACTGACGTTTATTTGGATTTAACAGATAAGCAAGACAAGAACTTTACCTACAAGCTCTAACTTCATATCATTTCATCATTAATCATGCTATTCCTCAATTACTATTTATTTTAACAGAAACTATATAGTCATTTCATAAGAATATAACTCAATTACCTTCTTTATTTACATATTGGCCTTTTGTGTTAATGCTACATGGTTCATGTAGCGTCCTCACCATGTACTGTAAGATAGATACACATCTTCAAGTTGCTAGCACATATTTTGTAAGCTCAATGTGTACATCAAGCTTTGGAGCTTTCTCTTAATAAGCCGTTTGTACGAGAAATGCTATTTTCAAGGTCGCGAGGCATGATTCAATTGTGATTTTCAGACTATTTCCGCAATTCGCGTCAGGCTTCGCATTTGACTTGTAATATGCAGCAATTAAATCTTCAAAAGATAGATTTATGCAGCAAAAAAAGAATTAAGTAGCCAGGCTAAGTTATGGTACTTTGAAATCGCATTTCCCTTCCTAATAGCTCTGAAAACACCGTGTGTCTTCATCAGGCAGGCATCTATACAGCCATATTTGATTGAATCTCCGACATTTTTTTTTTCATCCAAGATTGGCCAGAATTTGATTAAATTCCCGTCTCCTCAACGCTCGCTTGATGGTTCACTTTTCCGACAAGATCAGCATCCAACAGATGGGCTTCATGCCCAAACGTTTCATTGCCGAACAGGGCCTCCAGGTTCAATGTATGCAAACAATCGCCACCAAGTCCAAGATGCCCTCTATTGCGCTTCTTCTTGACCAAGAAAAAGCGTATGACCGCATCCACTTCTCATACCTTGATGCCCTGATGCAGGCCTTTAACATCCCCCGGACACTCATTACCACTATTTTGAATCTGTTCTCGAGCACCATGATTCAACCGAATGTTAACGGTTTCCTATCCTCTCCTTTGCCACAACTACGAGGCCTTAGACAAGGTGACCCACTAAGTCCTCTACTCTTCAATATCGCCTTTGACCCTTTTCTACGAGCGGTCAACAACAATACTCGTATCCAAGGTTTCTCTTTCCCCCCAGACCCTCTATCTGGATCTACCCCTCCTCCAGTCAAGATCCTTGCTTATGCCGACGACACCTTAGTCACCCTGAATGACCCGTCTGAATTCCCTGCCCTCGAGGAACTCCTGCAAAGATATATGGCTGCCTCAAACGCCCTGCTCAACTACAACAAAACCCAGGCACTGTCTCTCTCAGGACGCAATCAACCGCATTGGACTCAGTTTCTGGCTTCCAAAGGCATCTCGTCATGGCATGACAACTCATCTTCTACACCTTTGATCTACCTTGGTTACGGACTTTTTTCCAATCCTCAACAACGATCCTCATTTGTCGCCACTCTTATCTCCACCATCCGCACCTCCTGTCAATTACATTTTACTCGAAATCTGACAATGCGTGGTCGTGTCACTGTTCTGAACTCTTTGATCCTCTCCAAACTATGGCACGTCCTACGTCTCGTCACTTTCACCCCGACAGAATTTGGATTACTACAATCCATCATCTCCTCCTTTGTGAACCGCAACGCCAAGATAGTCCGTTTCTCTTTTGATACACTCACCCTACCTCGTACTCAGGGCGGTCTCAAACTTCTCAACCCTGCCAAACAATCTAATGCTCTTCAGTGGCGTTGGATCCAACCTCTCCTTCATCCAAATCACCCATCACCTTCCTTGATGCCTTCCCTCCCGGTTCTTCGGTCCACACTCTCCTTTTCTCTTGGCTCCACTCGATTTCCTTCCTATCACTGGTCTCTCCTTTTTCCTCCATGTCGTCCATCTGGTCTTCCTAATTCTGGCCCCGTCTTCAACATCATTCGTGCTGTCGACTCTATCCAACGGAATTTCCACTTGTGCTTCGTCGATATCCCCACCATCCTACGCCTCCCCTTCCTATCCCTTCTTCAACACACTCTCCCCCCTTCCCATCCTCTAACACCTACATTCTCACCTCCATCCACCATCCTCAAAGACCACCCCACAATTCGTCTCCACCTCTACGGTTCTGACATTTTCGATTACAACTCCAATAATCTCACCCTTGATCTCAAACAATCTTTTCGCAACCTCCCTCACCCAACATCTACCTCTCGAGCCATTACCATGATCCGAGCCCATTCCTTACTGTTAAACACATTTACCCTCCAAACCATGATACCTCGCTACCCCAGACATCTCTTAACTGCCTCACAACTGGACATTACCAACCCCCCAACCATTGACAGCCTTCATTCCTTTCTTACCTCCATAATCTCATGCCAATTCGACCTAGAGTCACACCAATTCCGAATGGCTGATCCATCCACCAAGGGCTTCAAATCCCTTCCCTCCTCCACTCCTTTACCAGCTCCAGTACCGATCCTGACTCCCAATCGATGGAAAACGTTTTGGTCCCTTCGCATTCCCTTGAATGCACGGAACACCTGGTACCGTGTTCTCCATCACAAAATCGCTACTGGTGAAACCCTTCAACGCCGCTTAAAAGTCCCTTATGATGCCACTTGTACCATCTGTAGATCATCCATGGAGACAACAGAACACTTTCTCTTCGCCTGTCCCATTAAACGCTCCTTTTGGACCACTGCTCTCCGTACATACATGCCACCGCCCATTAATCAAAACAGTTACTCTAACTTTAGAAAATTCCTACTCTTAGAACACTACCCGTCTCGACAACAGCATCCTCTTTTTCCCGACTTATCTGTTCCCCAAGTATTTGCCTGTATGCTACACACCATTTGGTACTATCACTATCAGCATCTTTTTCAACACACTCCTTTCTTACCTTCTATCCTTCTCTCCTACCTCCAAAAATGCCTTTCCACCCTACAATCCCAAGAAACCTTAGATCAAGTTCTCTAAGTTGTATCCCATATATCCAGTCTTTTTCCCCTCTCCCTTTATTTAGGTGACGTTTAAAGGACTTTAAATAAAGCATTCATTTGCCCTAAAAAAAAAAAAAAAAAGAATTTGATTAAATTCGACTCGATTAATCTGTTTTGCCAAATTTAACTATAAAATTGTGCTGATCGTGCTATACTTCCTAATGCATTCTAGGATTACTTTTCAAGGCGAATATAATGGTATTAATTATATAAAATGTTTTAAATAAACTTATTGAGCAAAGTTGAAAAATATGAAATGCAGTTTTTGGTGAAAAAGTCAAGATTTTACATATGTAGGTCGCACAAATGAGATTTCAGGAGTTGCATTGGATTGAGAGAAGAGTTTTGAATTACTACATGCCATAATAAAAGTCTTCGCTTTGAAGGTGAAAAACGCGATTGTTTGATTTTCAATGAAAACCATGGGGTACCCCTCATGGATTTTGGTCAGTTTTTGACGGTCTCAAAAAAGTTGAGCAAAGGTATCGGTAAGTAAGTGCTAGTCCAGAGCAACTGTTTGACGCTATTTTGGCAGCTTAAAACGGCTTCTAACTCGAGAAACTCTTGCTTAAAGTTATCTATATTTGGCTGTGATTCGTATGTTTTTGAGTAGGGAAGTATTGTAAGTGTGCTATGTGCTCGTATATGAACTGTTCCCATCACTATGGGCGCAGTGCGTCATAGAAGAGTCAGATATCTGCCGTAGGTTGCTTATGAGAGGTCTTTGCCTTGCATTAGACAGTCAAAATGTGCGTTTATGATATATATTAGTAGAATTAAGCTACAGTAAGGCATCAAAATGGTTTGAGTCAATGCCTTACACCTGCTCATCTGCAGCATGAACCTGTCAATCATGCCATGCTAGATTTTAAATCGTAGAGAGCGGCAGCCAAACAAAATGCAAGGCTAGAGGATCAGATCGGTGAACGACATTTGCAATGCACTTCTTCGCTCAGGTTTGGATTGCCTTTAAAATGTGAACCATCCTGGACCATTTTTGTTGGCGGTTTACCGGATGAAACGTTCCTGAATATTCTCCACTCTAAAGGCGAATTCTATCTAGATTGAGAACACAAGTGTGCTCTTGATTGGTCATTGTATAATGGTAGATTCACTTTCGAAACCTTTCATGTCCAATTGTTTGTGACGGTAATAGATGTGCAAACCGGTCACCTTTTTTTTTCTGCAGATTTTTTTTTAGGTATTAAATGCTTATCGTAAAAGCTGATCCCTTTAAACATTTCAAGATCTTCTTTTCCCAATTATCAAGAACGAAAAAAAGTCTGTGAAATGCCTAGTACCGTAGCCGAAAAAGAAGGTAATTGTTTAACGAATACAGCTGTCAATTGATTGACTAAATCAGTTCATTGCTCTTAGCTCGCAGCGAAAGAAAAGACAGAAAGGAGAAAAAGGAGAAGAAGGAAAAGTCTTCCCGTAAGCGTGATAGAGATGAAAAGTCCATTGCCGATGATGTTGATGTTACCTCCAATGCTACATCTGCTGCTGCATCTCCCGTCAATGATTCTCCTGAACCTGAAAACAAGAAGCGCAAGGTTGTTGAAGAGATCGATATCAACACTGATGACATTCCCGAAAACCTTCGTCTCTCCAACTTTCGTATCTCTCAAGGCACTATTGACAACCTCGAAGCCAAGGGCATCAAGTCTCTTTTCGAAATCCAAGCTGCTACTTTTGATACCATCTTCGACGGTAATGATGTCCTTGCTCGTGCTCGCACTGGTACTGGTAAGACATTGGCATTCGCTTTGCCTGTCATTGAAAGACTCGCTCTTGACAAAGAATACACTGTGCGTCGTGGTCGCTCTCCCCGTGTGCTAGTTCTCTGTCCCACTCGTGATTTAGCCAAGCAAGTCTGTGGTGATTTCGAGCAACTCTCTGGTAACCGTCTCAAGACTTTACCCGTCTATGGTGGTGTCCCTTACAATGAACAAACCTCTGTCTTTAGAGACGGTGTTGATGTCGTCGTCGGTACTCCTGGTCGTATTCTGGATCACATCAAATTTGGCAATATGAAATTGAGCGACCTTAAGTTTATCATTCTCGATGAAGCTGATGAAATGTTGGATGCCCGTGGTTTTGAGGAGGATATGTTCAACTTGCTGTCTAGCATTCAAGAACAAAAAACCTCTCGTGATTACCAAACCTTATTGTTCTCCGCCACTGTTCCTGAATCAGTCATGGAAACTATCAAACGTTTCCTCAAGGAAGACTATGAACGTATTGATTTGATCGGTAATGCAAAGAACAGAACCAACACCAACATTCGTCACATTGCCATGCCATCCTCTTACCACACTCGTGCTGATATTATTGGTGATGTTGTCAATGTGTATGGTCGCAGTGGTTTGACAGTTATCTTCTGTGCTACAAAGGCTGATGCCAATGAATTGGGTGCTCATGATAAGATCAAGCAAGATGCTGCTGTTTTGCACGGTGATATTGCTCAATCTTCCCGTGAAGCTACTATGAAGGCTTTCCGTGAAGGCAAATACAAATGTATTGTCTGTACTGATGTTCTCGCTCGTGGTTTGGATATCCCTCAAGTTGATTTGGTTATCAACTGTCAACCCCCCAAGGATACTGAGTCTTATGTCCACCGTTCTGGTCGTACTGGCCGTGCTGGTCGTTCTGGTGTCTGTGTCACTTTCTTCAAGCCCGCTGAAGAAGGCCTTTTGTCTTACATCTCCAAGCGCACTGGTGTTAAGTTTGAACATTTGTCAGCCCCTCGTCCCGAAGATATTATTGAAGCTACCACTGAGGATGCTTTCAAGTCTATTGATATGGTCAAGCCCGACGTTTTGCCCTTCTTCTCTGCATCTGCCAAGCAATTAATTGAAAAGCATGGTGCTGAAAACGCTGTTGCTGCTGCCCTCGCATTCATGACAGGCTATCATCAAGGTGTTCCTAGCCGCTCTCTTTTGAGTTCTCAAGAAGGTCAAACTACTCTCCTCATGCAGTTGACATACACAATCCAACATCCTGGTTATGTCCGTAATATCCTTAACCGTGAGTATCCTGAATTAGGCTATGATGATTTGAAGAGCTGGCGTATGACTCAAGATTCCATGGGCGTTGTTTTCGACATCAACTCCTCCAAATGTGAAGTACAAGAAGATGGTACCGTTCTTTTGGCTGGCAGACCTTGGACTTCTCACAACATTACCTTGACTGCTCCTTCTACTCTTCCTCCTCTTCAAGAACGTGATAACAGAGGTGGTAGAGGTGGTGGAGGCTATGGCGGCGGTCGTGGTGGTAACTCATATGGCGGTGGACGCGGTGGAGGCCGAGGCGGTTATGGTGGAGGTAATCGTAACGGTGGCTATGGCGGTGGCAACCGTGGTGGAAACGGCGGTGGCTATGGCGGTGGCAATCGTAATGGTGGCGGCGGTGGTTATGGTGGTCGTAGCGGTGGTGGCTACGGTGGCCGTTAATTGTACAAATATATTCCGTTTCATTCAGTCAATCAAACAATATTGCAGTGATTGTTTTATCATTCTTTGAAAAAAAAAAAAAACTACCTCACATTAACCTTGTATTCTATAGTTCGTCTTTAATTTGCTTCCTAAATCAACATAATATAATAAAAAATAGAAAATTTGCATAGAGAAATAATTTAATCACTTTTGTTTATCTGTTTGATGTGTTTTGTTGCAACTTTTGCGCGTAAGCAATGCCAGATGCCAGTGCATAAACTCTGCTGTCAATGATGAGCTTCCCATCATGCGATTTCTGCAAATCTAGATCAAATCCCAATGTTAGAAAAGTGCATAATAACGTGAATAAACAAGATTACCCAGCAAGTTATTTATGATATTGTCTAATGGCAAACTAATCACTTGCAAACTCCACTCATCTGCCTCTAAGGACTGTGAAGGAGGGGACGAAAGATTTGATAAATCAATAGTAACTTTTGCCACATAACAGCACGAATTGGAGAGCCCAGGTTCGTAAGCTAATGGCGTCTTTACTAAATCAAATTCTGACAGAGGAATATCATAACCTGTCTCTTCCTTCAACTCCCTTTGAGCAGAAACAAGTGGATTCTCATTTATATCAATCAAGCCTTGCATAAAGGTCAGAATGGCTTGCATCGCTGATTACCCATGTTCGCGTTACCTGAAGGAAATTCAATACAGTAACATTCGATTGCTGGTCTATTTGCGCATTCTGTCTAGTGAAAATACACATATTATATCTCGAAAACATACCTAAATTGTACCACTAGTAACATTTCTGGTGCAGGGGTTAGCAGAATGGCATGGACGTCTACAGCTAATTTGCAAAGAAGCCCTAAGCTTAGTGTAAGCTCTGATATCTACTGTATATACCATCGACATTCGAAGCTCGTTCCTTTCTTCGAACACAACGCTCCCATTGTCTCTGAACATTGTTGTTGTCTTTATATGATATGCATTCGAGTTGCAGCCAATTTCCTCTACCCATAGACACTGGTTGGGATGTCTCGACTTCAACAAGCTCTTGGTCCAACAGCCGTCTAGATGCCATATCGTCAATGTTTGGTAATCGAACGAAAAGAACGCATTTGAGAGGGCGCATGATCTATGACCGCATTTGCCATGTTTGAGCTATACTCACCTAAAGAAAGTCATTCAAAAGAGATCCATACATTCGTTTATATTTCTCACGCTCCTCTTCACATATAACAGCAATGCAATCTCTATTTGATATCAAGAAAACAGACGTAGATTTATATTCCATACTAAACTGTGTGGATACGAGCTCGGTAAGATAGTGATTGATGCACATGAATGGCATCTTGAACTCATTAGAATATAGCCAGAGCAGATAAAGGCAGAGTACAAACATCTTGCTTTAAAGTATCACCCTGACAAGAGTTTGAATGGTAGCGTCATTAGGACACATTCGTAAATCAACTTGTTTTGATTAAGCTTGCTATTTACGTAGACGCAAAAGAATTTCAAAAGATCAAAGCAGCATATGAAATAGTTGGAGATCCTGTGAATAGAGCCTTGTACGAGCGATGGAAGTCAAGCAATCTTATCATCCCATTTTCGGAATTTGCTCAGATAGGCACGCATGCTCAAGTAAGGTTATTCTTTAATGCTTATTTCACAATGCTAACCAATAAATAGACTGTACATTGGCAAGCTCTTCCAGCCCAAATGACATTGACCGAAAATGATAGCACAAATACATCAGACAAAAGCATCAAATCATTGAGAGTACCACAAACAGCCCAACAGCTGTCAAATATACCTATTGAAACCACTGGATTCTGGAAAATGAAATCATTTAGCATCCAGGAAAATCAATCCTGAGCACTTTCATCATCAAAAATGCCTGTAGCATGTCGTGAACCTCCCAATAAAACCCTATCCACCCTCAAAGACGCTCCTGAAAAGTTCCTGATTTCAGTATGCCCTTATGTACAAAACAATGTGGATTAGCTTTCCATATCAAGCTCAAGCATCATTTGGAGGAAGGGATCAACTTCTCGTAATTATTTCGAAGGGCGTTTATCAATTCGATTATTCAGCGTTAAGTGATCCATTTCAAATATAAGATTCAACACTTCAAAAGACTAAGTTGCTTTATATTCCAATTGCTGGCATCTTTATTTATAATATTGTAATAAATCAAGATTCTTAGTTCTCATCCTCAACAACTTCAGTGTTAAGACCTAATGAAGAGATGTTAATACATGTCGTCGAGTATCAATGCTGTCATATTTACCCTTGAAATCAACAGTGGGGACGAAAGTAACGTAAGAGTAAAGCTTCTCCTTGGCATCCTCATCATCGTTACGCTTACGGGCGATACGGACACGAATACGGTGGTTAGTGTGCTTGACACCACGAGACCAGACGGCCTTGTTCAAAGAGGGATCAAGACGAACATCCTTGGTACCCATAGCCTTTTGGGCGAAAGCCTTGACAGCCTTAATAGCGTGAGGAGCACGCTTTCTCAAAGAGCGACCAAAGACGTGCTTGTGCATGTGAATGGTGTACTCACGAGTAACGACATCAGCGAGAGTGGAACGCTTTTGGGTGGTCTTTTGATCCTTGGCCATTCTTTATAGTTGAAAAAAAAAAATTAATCATCCATTGAGTAAATTGTTGGATAAAATAAATATATCCATCTATCCATCCGTCTGCGAAACGTCGATATCCACTGATGTTGATGGCTATATTGATCAATCTTGTTACTGGATACTTACTTGTGAGTAATTAAAAAGAGGGAGATCTTAATATCTGTCGATATGACACCTTTGTTAACTCTCCAAACCTTAGTGTCAATGCTTTCCACTGAATTTTTCCGGGTCGGCGGATATTGAACCAGATCAGGTTTTCCGGCGGATCATGGAAGCTTTCTAAAGCTTACGATAAACGATCCAATGCTCCCAACTAAAGATACGGTGTCCTTTCTTGATTACCTGATGGAGATAAAGGTATATGTATCTTGCGCATCTCCATTCAGAGATAATGAAGTAAAACATTGATGATTCTATCTTGATCAATCGAAAAACGAAAACTGGCTGTTTAATTTATCACAAGTTCAAAAAATAAGAGCTACACTGGTTGAACTACATTTAAATAGCAACAGAGTGCTTGAATGGTTTCTGCAGCATTGAATTATAGGGCACTTTTTCACTATCAATGCAAATCACACGGGCCAGCCTCAATTAGGCAACTGCCTTTGATCCGCCAATCATATGTTACCCCTGAAATGTCAAACGATTTTATGATCCGACATTTTAATCACAGAGCCTATTTGCTTACGATTAATTCTCTAGGTTCAACGATGGGATTTGAAGCAAATACTACACAAATACATGAAAAAAGTTAATGTACAGAGCTGAATATACTTTAGATTTTTGGTGGGACTGTTTTTTTTTCAAGGGATTATGTAAATAAGGCTTTATTTTTATCATTTGATCATCAATGAAAAAGCTGTTTAAGCCCATTCTAAAGAGCTGGCATCCATTTTCGGATGAAGGCATGTTTTAATATAAATTACAGACAGATGAGGGCATAGTTCAACTTTTTAACAGGAATTTTCAGTCGATTATTTAGAATGATATTATACTTTAACATCTCTTTTAGCTCGGTTTTGGGTGGCAAAAACAGTTGCCTCGATTACTTTACCTGTCATGTACAAGAAGTCGTTTTTGAATAAAGAATGAAGTTAAATTGATTGATTAAATGCACTTCAAGCAATTTATTGTCTTTTCTATAAACATCATCGAATAATTCGTTCTGATTCGAATAAATACTTGAGCTAACACACACACACACACACAAAATCGTTGGAAAAGAAGGGGGTCCTACCACTGATTTTCTTTTTGCTTTCATTATTGGCCAGTGTTTGGCAATAAGCTCCTGAATTGTGTGTAATACACGAGGTAGACCCCCCCCTTTTTTTTTTTTTTTTTTTTTTTTTTTTTTTTTTTTTTTTGTAAATAACGAGTTGGCATGCTTTGACTGGGTGTAAAAAATGTAGATTTTGAGCCTGTGCACTGTAATTTGGCATTGCAATTCGTTGCAATTTTTTTCCATAAGCAAAGTGCTTTCCAGTGATACGGTCTACCTGAATCACGCACTTAAATGCCATTTACGTACTAGCAAACATCTAGAGAAATCATCTTTCTTCTTTGCGTTTGTTTATTGTAAACAAATGCGTACATTGTAGTACGTTTTTTTAATGTCAAAATTAGGTAAGACAAGTCATTTATGCATACTATGCAGAATTAAGAAAGAAAAGTACTGATGCTAGCAAACTTGGCACCAGATTGTGATAAATTGGACATTTTCCATGATGTATATTGAAATGCCACAATCAATTGTATGCCATCATTCTTGATTCATGTACAAATAGCTAAAAAAAGACATTGCATGGATGCAATACCATGATAAAACAAGAGGGAAAAGCTATACATCATTCATTCTTAGTATTGCTGATTTTAGATATATTAGAAATAGAGAATAGGAGAGTTTTATTTATTGTTTGTATACAATGTATTTCTGTTAGAAACAGAAAATTACTGCTTGGATCCAGTAGGTGCTCTATAAGTATAAATCAAGTCTAGGTAGATCATGTATAGACTTCGTAGATCAATATTTTATTTATGTATCATAGCGTCGATTTATCACCGTGTTTTATTGACATAATGTATATATTTATATACATTGTTACACCCTTAAAATCCACATAAATCGTTTATCGTCCATGGGTATATAAAGCATCTTGTTTTTTTGTCAAATTCTGTTTCTATCCTTTATTCATCCTTTGATTTTACCATAGCAACCATGTCTCAGACTAATAGCACATCTTTACCTGCAGCATTTGACTTTTATTCTTCTGAAATCAAGCAAGAGAACAACATGCATTATGCTTCTTCTTATGATTACTATACACCTTACTCATACATGCCTTTTAAGCAACAAATTACCTCTGTGGTTTCCCCACCATTGACGCCTGCTGTTTCCCCACTCACTCCAATGTTAATGGATTCAGTAAGCGATCACTTTAACCACAGCAATCGACACCACCAAGATTACAATCAGTCATATGCACCTTATAAAGAAGCATCACACTCAGCATTTACCCACCACAACGGCAGTAGTGACAGCAGTGTTGCAAGTAGCACAATCAATTCACCCCTTACACACACGCAGCATAAACATGTTTGCCACTTTCATTATTGTGGATGGAGTTTCAAACGATATGAACATCTGAAACGGCACATGCTGGTTCATACCGGAGAACGACCCTATTCATGCCATTTCCCAGGTTGCGGGAAGAGCTTCAGTCGATCAGATAATTATCATGCCCATTATCGTACACACACCAAAAAGAAACTATCAAAGAAGCGTGGCACTAAAGCTAGTGTAACAACGGACAAGAATTGTCATCGCAATAGTGCGTTCTCATCATTGGTTGATAAGCGAACATCTCAGCAGAACTCTATTATTCCAAGCCATTGTACCGCTAGTAATGTTGCAGCTAATGCGGCAGCAGCAGTTGCTGTATCTCAACAATTCGAGCCAAATTATAGTGGGGTTTACTATCATACGCAATCTATGGTACATGCAAAAGCAAATATATCTGTGTATTACTGCAAAAACTAACGTTTGAAACTCTTTACTATGTGTAGATGAATAACTTTTACCCCACTGCGTTTCAGAACATGTCACCCATCTCCTCGCCAACGCCTGCTACCACCACCACACCTGCTCCTTCTTCTCCAGCAACAGCCAATGATGCCAAATCCCACATCTGTCCAATCGCCCAATGTCAGGGTCGGTTCAAGCGATTAGAACATTTGAAAAGACACATGCGTATCCATACTTTGGAGAGACCATTCAGTTGCAGCTATCCTGGTTGTCAAAAATCCTTTTCTCGATCTGATAATCTGTCTCAGCATGCAAAAACACATGTCAAATCATCAGACAAGAGAAGAAGGAAATGAATTAAATAATCTTATGTAATAATAAAGAAAACATTTAACTAATTGCAAATTTGTTGAGTTGCATTGAATTTCTCTGGGGGATTTCCTCATAGTCTCTTGTCTCCCCAAATTGCCATGTTGGGGATTTTTATATATGAAAGATAGCGGCATAACGTCCTAAACCAGTTTTTAGACCTCGGCGGCAAACCTTTTATGGAAGAGCTTCAGTCCTATTCCAAGCGGTTCCCTCTAGATGTATAGTCACACTAAACCTCCAAGTTTTTAAATAAAACATCTTGTCATTTCCCCTCAATCCTTTTCTTTTTTCTTCTTATCATCTATTTAATTATTTATTATGTCTGCTAAACCTATCAGAGAATATGATGGTAAGCTCTTGTTGGCCTATCATCTCTTGCGCGCTCCTCTCGTAGGCGGCAATCAAGATGGATCTGCCTCTCTTTTCACCCCTGCCGCCACCAAATTGGCCCATATCAATGTCAATACTTCTCTCTTGAGTGATGAGGCTGCTTTCAAGTCTGCTTTGAAGCAACAACTCGATAATCTCGAACAAACACATCCTTGGTTGTTGACTGACAAGTTGGTTGCCAAGCCTGATCAATTGATCAAGCGTAGAGGAAAGCATGGCCTTTTGGCTCTCAATAAGGACTGGGCAGATGCTCGCAAGTGGATTGAAGAACGCGCAGGAAAAGAAATCAAGGTAAATATTACTCTTTTTGGGAGAGTTTGGCGGGTAGCACTAGTAGAAATCAGGTTTTCTAGCAGCGCAAGGGGGGCCGTTTTTTATAATATATAAAAAAAAAAAAAAAAATAGATGAGATTACCATATTGGGGGTTCCATCAGAAAACTGGAAATATGTTTATTAATGTAAATACTTCAATGTAGATTGAAAGAACGACTGGTGTCATCAAGACCTTCTTGGTCGAGCCCTTTGCTCCTCACCCAGACAACACCGAATATTACATCTGTATCAACTCTGTCCGTGAAGGCGACTACATTCTCTTCACTCATGAAGGTGGCATTGAAGTTGGTGATGTTGATGCTAAGGCCCTGAAGTTGTTGATCCCTGTCACCTCATCTGGTTTCCCCTCTGCCGACACTATCAAGGAGACTCTGCTCAAGGATGTTCCCGAATTCAAGCGCGATGTTCTCGTTGATTTCATCCGCCGTCTCTATGCTGTCTATGTCGACCTTCACTTCACTTACCTTGAGATCAACCCCTTGGTTGTCACTGATCCTGTTGAAGGTCAAACCCCTCAAGTCATGTACCTCGATTTGGCTGCCAAGATTGATCAAACTGCCGAATTCGAAGCTGGGCCCAAGTGGGCTATTGCCAGAGCTCCTCAAAACATTGGCCTCGCTCCCTCTGCTGATTCACAAAACGTTGATCAAGGACCTCCTATGGAATTCCCAGCTCCTTTTGGCCGTGAGTTGACACGTGAAGAAGCCTATATTCAGGAATTGGACGGAAAGACCGGTGCTTCTCTCAAGTTGACTGTACTCAACCGTGATGGCCGCATCTGGACCATGGTCGCTGGTGGTGGTGCTTCCGTTGTCTACTCCGATGCCATTGCTGCCTTGGGTTATGCTGATGAACTTGCCAACTATGGTGAATACTCTGGTGCCCCTACCGAGACTCAAACCTACGAATATGCAAAGACCATTTTGGATTTGATGACTCGCGGTGATGTCAACTCTCAAGGCAAGCTCCTCTTCATTGGTGGTGGTATTGCCAACTTTACCAATGTCGCTACTACTTTCAAGGGTATCATCCGTGCATTGACCGAATTCAAGCAAGCTCTTATCAACCATAAGGTTCGTATTTTTATTCGTCGTGGTGGCCCCAACTATCAAGAAGGTCTCCGTGCCATGCGTCAATTGGGTGAGACTCTTGGTGTCGAGATTCAAGTTTTTGGCCCTGAGACTCACATTACTGAAATCGTGCCTTTGGCTTTGGAAGGCAAGGCTACCACCCTCCAATCTACTCCCTCTGCCTCTTCTGGTAACTTGTTCCAAGATCAAATCTTTGGTTCCAACACCAACTCTGGCGCCAACACTCCCAAGCTCACTATTGCTGAAGACAACGAGACTCCCTCTAACCCCAATGAGCGCATGACTTACTTCACTGAGCAAGGTCAAGAAGAATCCGTCGAATGGTACCGTCCCTTCACCTCAAAGACCCGTGCCTTTGTCTACGGTATGCAACCTCGTGCTGTCCAAGGTATGCTTGATTTCGACTTCATGTGCAAGCGTGATACTCCTTCTGTTGCTGCCATGGTCTATCCTTTCGGTGGTTCTCATGTCCAAAAGTTCTACTGGGGAACCAAGGAAACTTTGATCCCCGTCTTCACCTCGCTCAAGGAGGCCATCGAGAAGTTCCCTGAGGTCGATGTTGTTGTCAACTTTGCTTCTTGCCGTTCCGTCTTTGACTCTACTCGCGAGATCTTTGCCTTCTCTGAGCAAATCAAGACCATTGCTATCATTGCTGAAGGTGTCCCTGAACGTCGTGCTCGTCAATTGTTGCATGAAGCTGAGGCTCGCAAGGTCCTTGTCATTGGTCCTGCTACTGTAGGTGGCATCAAGCCTGGATGTTTCAAGATTGGTAATACTGGTGGTATGATGGATAACATTGTCTCCTCCAAGCTCTACAGAGCTGGTTCCATTGGTTACGTCTCCAAGTCTGGTGGTATGTCCAACGAGTTGAACAACATTGTTTCTCGTACTACTGATGGTGTCTACGAAGGTGTTGCTATCGGTGGTGATCGTTACCCTGGTTCTACCTTCATCGACCACTTGTTGCGTTATGAAGAAGACCCCAACTGTAAGATGCTCGTCTTGCTTGGTGAGGTCGGTGGTATTGAAGAGTACCGCGTCATTGAGGCTGTTCAAAACGGTACCATCAAGAAGCCCATCGTTGCTTGGTGTATCGGTACTTGTGCCAAGATGTTCACCACTGATGTCCAATTCGGTCACGCCGGCTCCATGGCCAACTCTGATTTGGAAACTGCTGATGCCAAGAACAAGGCCATGCGTGCCGCTGGTATTATTGTCCCTGAGACTTTCGAAAAGATGCCTTTGGCTCTTGCTGAAACCTATTCCAAGCTTGTCAAGGAAGGCACCATTCTTCCCAGAGCTGAGCCTGAGATCCCCAAGATTCCTATTGATTACTCATGGGCTCAAGAGCTTGGTTTGGTTCGTAAGCCTGCTAGTTTCGTCTCTACTATTGTCGATGACAGAGGTCAAGAATTGTTGTATGCTGGTATGAGAATCACTGATGTCTTCAAGGAGGATGTTGGAATTGGCGGTGTCCTCTCCCTTTTGTGGTTCAAGCGCAGACTTCCCAACTATGCTTGTAAGTTCATTGAGATGGTCTTGATGTTGACTGCCGATCACGGACCTGCCGTCTCTGGTGTAAGTATATCATATGGATTGGGTTTATGTAGCATTAGATTTAACAATTTCGTGTTTAGGCCATGAACACCATTATCACTACTCGTGCTGGTAAAGATTTGATCTCATCTCTCGTCTCTGGTCTTCTTACCATTGGTGAGCGTTTCGGTGGTGCTCTTGATGGCGCTGCTAGCAACTTCACCAAGGCTTATGACAGCGGTATGACTCCTCGTGAGTTTGTCACCTCCATGCGTAAGGCCAACAAGTTAATTCCTGGTATTGGTCACAAGATCAAGTCTCGCACCAACCCTGATATGCGTGTTGAATTGGTCAAGGACTATGTCAAGAAGAATTTCCCTCACACCCCTATCCTTGATTATGCTTTGAAGGTCGAGGAAATCACCACCAGCAAGAAGGATAACTTGATTTTGAATGTTGATGGTTGTATTGCCGTCTCTTTCGTTGATCTCTTGCGTGAATCTGGTGCCTTTACCCATGATGAAGCTGAAGAATACATGCGTATTGGCACCCTGAACGGTCTCTTTGTCCTTGGTCGTTCTCTCGGTTTCATTGGTCACCATTTGGATCAAAAGCGTTTGAAGCAAGGTCTTTACAGACATCCTTGGGACGATATCTCTTACCTTTTGCCCTCTTTGGACCCTGAGACTTTGGATCCTCGCCGTGTCAATGCTCGCGTCAATGTTCAACCCAAGCAAAAATAATTTCATTTATCACTTACAGCCACTTTTTTCTTTCCTCCATTAATATTGCAACTACACCACAAAAAATAACTAGCATCATGTCAAGAAAGAAGCAAAAATTAGAATATACACTCATCATTTTATTCTTTCCCTCCTTGTACACTTTTTCTCGAAAAATAAAAATATTTTTGATTCAAATACTATAAAAATGCTGTTGTCACCATGCAAATGTTCCGTTTTAAAGCTCGAATGGTATGCTCAAATGTGATTGTCAATAGTCGCTTGCAGTACTGAGCTCAAAACGCCATAATCGCTCAAGGTATCTCGGACACCTAAAGAGTTTATTAAAAGATCAACATCATAAATCTCGAAGCATCTGTGCACGAGTCGCTTCGATGGAACCAACTATAACAGACACTGATACAACAAGCGAGGTCCCCTGATTTTTAGTTTCTACTTGCGCCATACTCAGGCACCATACAAGTGTATGTATTCCAATTGTCATGTGTATAGTTATCCGAGGAGAAAAAGGAAAGCGAGCCGACATCTATATATAATGATGATGATACAAAAGTCTCAGACTGTCAATAGTACTTTATATTATATATATATATATATATATATATATATGAGAGTGCTTCAAATCAAATATAGGATAGCATCTCTCAAACTGATGGGTGGTTGTCATACACTACTCATTATGTTCATCTGTGTCTTGGAATTCAGAGCGACACATTTCCAAATGAAGCAATTTCTACCACATAGTAAATCAAAATGGCTGATGCTTTGAGGAATATTAAATTTAATATATATAGATGGAATCAGCTCAATTTATGCGTGCTCAGCAAAACTAGATGCGTTTATTTCTTTTGTACGGTACGACATCTAGAACAAATAAAAGACAGGCTGTCGCATTAGTCGCACATGATATGAAGATACTCCTCGACATCCAGCCCTTTAGCAAGTAGTCTATACTCGCAAAAAAAAAAAAAAAAAAAAAAAAAAAAGAGCATGAACGTCTTTATGGCTCAAATGTCTGGATTTCCCGGGTGAGTTGGATGTGAGGGAATGCTGCAGGCAGCGTGTCCATCCATCATACAAGCAGTTTTACATAGCCATGTACTAATTAGTGCATGTGAGTGATGCTTTGCGACAGGTTACGTCGTATTTGCTTGCATGTAGCAAAATCTGGGGCAAAGTTTGTCATTGGCTCACCCGAGTTTCTGATGGCGGTTGTATACCCTCACCCACTTTTTCATATTACATGCATGTTCAACCTACCACCCACATCTTGCTGGATGTCCCTTGATACTAGGACACACGACAGGATGATAAGGTGTATGCATCATCCTTTAAACGGATAAACGACGGTATTTTATAAGGCAAATGATGAGAGAGGTCAACTGGTTACACTTGAAAAGAGACCTAGAAAAAGAGAGATTGTTGGCGATCTCCTACTAGATCATAGAGCCATTAGATTGTTTTCCCGTTTGGCCACCTAAAAAGCTAAATATTCTCATCAAATGAATACAAGCAGTATAAAAAAAGACATATCATGGGAAGGCCTTGCTGCTCATTCCATTTGTTTAAAATGGGAAATACTACATGAAAAGTTACTATACATTACATTCATCATGAGATCCAATTTGCTGTAGGACGAAAAGATAATGTAGATGAACAGCAACCAATAGAAGGCAGTTGACCAAGTAACTCAAAGAGTAAGGTGGTCTTGTTCCTTTTTGTAATACTCTGAGCTCCCTCTTTATATAGTAATGCATGCGATGTGAGAATATAGCCAATTTTATTATTTCACGCCACTCTACAATTGTTTTCTTCTCTTTTCCTGCCTTTGTCTCTTTTTACTTTGCTTCTTTTCTTTTCCTGGCTCTATATTCACACGCATTTCGATACTACACACGACTTTTGCAAGGTATGAACATGGTCAGCGCATCATTGCAGTGGTAGAAACTAAACCCCAACATTAGCAATGTCTGAACAGAATCTGTTAAACTATAATTTATTCAAAGCAAACAGTAATAATTTCCAGTTTGATTACTCAATGCCGTCTACAGCATCGGCAACAACTATGAATCATGAAATATTAGCTAATCAGCATCGAAGGGTATGTTGTTTCCAGTGCTAACCATCTCCCCCATACTAAAGCAATGCTCAAAGATATCCACCAGTAGCTATGCCTTGTATCCGACAGCAACATCCACAGCAACAACAGCATCATACTATCTACCGCCTATCACAACAAACGTATCATTCTCATCCATTCTACATAAAAAAGTTCTCGATCAGTCTGAACAACAATGGGAAAGTGATGTTTCACAAGTAATGTGGTTTGACCATATATATATATTTTGGATATCTCCAGTGCTTGAATACTAATAGACATTTGTTGATAATAGTCGGCTATAATCATCAATGAGAAGCAAGTGACTATACCATCGCCAGTGAACAACAGTGGTGATCACCATAGTATAGGATCCCAGTCAGATGATCAAACACCTACACACATAGTTTCGCCTGAAGCGATTCGAGAAGCATTGAAAGAAGAAAAAGAAGAAGCAATGGGCCATAGCCAACGAAGACCTTTTTCGAAATTCACATCATTCCATGCCTTAAAGCAACGTCGTTATTCCACAGATCAATCTCCTTCTCCACCTCCCCCTTTCCCTCCTGTTTCTGCCTCTTCTGGTATCATCAATGCTGCTGCTGCTGCTGCTGCTGCTGCTGCTGCTCCTCCTCCGTCACCACCAAGCTTTACAATTCCATTCAGTCCACCTCCTTCCATTAAAGCAAACCTAAATTACGATGACTTTGACGACAGTAATAGTCAGATTGATTCTGAAGAAGCTGATGCTTTAACGAAAGAAGAAACACATGTGCCCGAAGAGCCAGACACACCATGCCCATCCAATCGACCTACCATTGCACTGGAAAAACTAAAAAGACCACCGAATGCTTACCTGCTCTTTAACCGAGACATGCGTCGCAAATTGCTGAAGCAATCACCCAAAATGACAGTTGCTGAAATCAGTAAAGAAGTGGGAGACTGGTGGAAAGCCTTACCAGATGTAACTTCTCGAAGTAGTTCTTTGTTTCATGCAGCTATTAATGTTTATACTTTGTAGGTCGAACGAGAATATTACGTCAAAAAAGCATCGATACTAAAAGAGGAGCACTTGAAAAAGTATCCTGATTTTATATATACCCGAAGATCAAAAGCTCAACTAGCAGAGGCCAAAAAAACATCGAAATTAGGTCGAAAGTTAAAATCTAAAATTGTACAGAAATACGAAAATCAGCAACCAGCCATGCCAAATAACAATGCTACATTTGTTACTACTACCGATGCTGCAGCAGCAGACACACCAACAGAAAAAAATGCAGCGACAACAAGAAAAAGATCGAGAAAGTTCAATGCTTCAGGTGGCCAAAGGGATCCTCGAGGCAGGAAGAAGAAGAGACATAAGCACCCATTTGCACCTAAACATCCCATGTCTGCTTATTTATACTACTTGGCATCTGTCTATCCTCAAGTTTCTTTAAACTTCCCGGGCTCTACGGTCGGTCCTATCAGCAAATCCATCTCAAAGACCTGGCATGCCATGTCACCCGAGGAGCGTTTACCATGGAAGCAAAAGGCGGATTCTGACAAGGCGCGGTATGCTCGGGAAATGCAAGCATACATGGCAGCAAACAATCATTCAACACCAGCAGAGGAGGAAGACGAAGAACCAAAGAACCGAGTCTCTGACGATTCTGATGATGAATCAGGGGAAGTAGATGTTGATGTTCATATGCTAGCAGCAGTAGTTAATATGGTCAATACGAACCCCAACGATGGCAATTTGATGTATCATCGTAGATGAAATAAAGATATGCATGATGATGATTGTCACACCACAAGTTCCAATGTAGCTTTGTGCACCCCATTGATTTGAGAATCATACAATTGTTTAAATTCACACACACAGAACACTCTTTCTCTCTAATATCACCCTTTTTCTCCTCTCCAAGCTGTTGTACCCAGCCTTGCTCTCCATCTTGTTTCAGCAATCATCTACCACCGACATGGAATCACCTCCACAAAACTTATTCCTAAGCATACCTTTGAAAAAGGCAGACAAGATAAAATGGACTCCAGTGTTACTCGCTTATATCATCATGAGCTACGCTGAAGAAGGCAAGAAATACGAGGCAGATTGCGAGCTGCTGGATTCGATGCGAGAGCACGCTTTGAAACAAACGACAGAAGATGCTCTTGGCCTAGAAGATCTATCCATGTATGTGTCTGACACGCATACCAAAGGCTATACTCTAATAATTCTTTTCATATAGATACTTTAATCAACTCACATTTCTGGGATCTCGGTTCCCTCTCAACGTAAGGCGATTCATGTGCTAGCTCAAAACAGAGACTAACACATCTTTATAGCTGAACTTCCATATTGGATGGTTCCCAATCTTTCGACCAAAGCAAAAACCAGGTACAAGGAACACGTGAAAAACGAGATAAAACTTAAATCACTGAGCCTGTTCTGTTAGAAATCATTAGTAATTTGAATTATGAAAAATGCTGTGTGCTATATAGAATAGCAGGCATATACAGCGAGCTGGGCTGCTCACAAAACACCGTTTCCACCGAAGGCACACGAAGAGCATGTCAATATTTCCAAGTAAGCAAATCATGATACCATCAGCCACATTGTACTAAGACGACCACCACCAGAATGCTGCTGGATGCTTGCAATACATCCAATCCGATATTCTGCCCGACCTTCGAGCCAAAGCACCCCAAGATTTCGAACTTCTTGATCCTCTTGTATCACTCATGATGGCACAAGCACATGAATGCATTTGGCAAAAAGCCGTGATGGAGCATATGAAGCATGGGACAGTCGCTCGTCTTGCTGTCAAAGTCGCAGATCTATACGATGCATTTCTATCCAATATCCACAAAAAGATGATACCCGATGAATGGAACCGCAATGTCGAAGCCAAATCCAACTATTTCCAGGCAGTGGCTCAATACCAAAAAGCCAACGAGGCCATTTCCAATGGTCGATATGGCGAAGAAATCGCACGCTTACGCCTAGCAAAGACAAGCAACACTGCTGCACTATCTCATACCAAAGCATTGCAGCCTTCATTTGTGGATCAACTGACAGCACTGGATCAATCAATAGACCGTGATTTAATTCGCGCTGAAAAGGACAATGATCTGGTTTATATGGAAACGGTACCTGAGGCATCACAGCTGGCTCCCATCCTGAGATCAGACATGGTAAAGCCCACGGTTCCCAATTTTGTTACCCACCCCAACTACTGGCTTGTGTTAGCAGACAGACCCAATGATCCACTGTTTATAAAGCGGCCGTTGTTTGACAAGCTGGTCCCATTTGCGGTCCATCAAGCTATCAGCGTGTTTGCAGATAAGAAGGATTATATTGTCAAAGTGGATATTGTAGGGAAGAATCAAGAAATGAATGCAGATCAACAAAGGTACAGATGAAAAATCGAAATGCGACATGGCTACTGATGGTTTTTTGGCAGATGTTTGGATGAGCTTAACATTCCGTATGCTTTAGATGTGATAGACGCTCTACCCGCACAGTTGATAGATCATGCGGAAGAAGTACAGCACGAAGGAGGAATACAATCACTGCATGACATGCTATACAAGATACAAACCATGTCTAACAAGACGCTCAAACTGATAGAGGATGGATTCAATGCTCTCGAAGAAGAAAACGAACAGGATGCTACACTCAGCCGGCAATACGGCAAACTATGGAATCGACCTCCATCTAGAACATTGACGCATGATTTACTGACGCTTGGGACTCAATACAATGACACAATCCAAGCAGCACAAAAGGCAGATCGCATTGTGCAAGCCAAAGTCAACAATTGGGGAAAAGCAATTGCCATGCTATCTCGACCTGCTTCAGAGATAAAAGCGCATTTACCCAGCCTTCCCTATGATGACGAATATCACGCAGAGATTCATGAATTACTAGATCACATACGATCCAAATTAGACTTGCTCAAAGCTGCTAATGAAGAACGCACTCGGCTGGAAACAGAGGGCAAAACACTTGCTGAAAACGACGACATTTCAAATGTGCTATTATCAAAAGCCAATGAACTCACAAAGGGGTCTCCTGTCATCAAACTGGAGCCCGAGCAATTTGCCAGTGTTTTTGACCAGCATTTGCAAGCATATAAACGAATTCAGGAACAAATCCTCGCCTATGTTGAACCCCAAAGCGATCTGTTACAGTCAATCACTGACTTGCATGGCCAACTCTCGCTGCTAACAGCCAACAAGAGCCCTTTAATCAAGAGAGAAAAGGCTATTTCTAACCTGGAGTCTGCATTTACCAAATTCAAAGAAATCAGGACCAACCTAGTAGAAGGCATCAAGGTAATTTGAGATCGAGATGCTTGTCATTGCTACTGTGTATTCATTCTTCGTACATAGTTTTATTCCAATTATACAGATACCATCAGTCAGTTCAGAGATGATTGTCTAGAGTTTGCCATTTCGAGAAAATTGGAGGCAACTGAGCTATCTCGAGATGCTAATCCCACTCGATTACTGTTACTAAAGAAATAAATGTACCATACACCCTGCCAATCCCACTGAACATTTCCTTTTAAGGTAGATTTTTACAAAACAAATGCTCTTTGAGCTACCAGAATCCAGTGCGCAGTCAATTGTGAGCTACAGAATGAAAAAAAAAAAAAAAAAAAAAAAAAAAAGGAGCTAAACGGTTAAAGCTAGCCCTTGAGTCCAACATTTTGTATTGATTCTGATAGTCGAAACACACATCTCTGCATCAGAGACACTAGAGTGAATTCAGGAACAAATGGCAGTGGCAAACAAGCATTGAAATAACGTCATTCAGATACCTTTGATTGGATTACATTGCAGTCAGCAGTGTTGCGCCAAAAGTTTTAGAAACGCAAGGCCGCCCAGCTCGCCACAGGTATAAAAAGCCCTTCCTCCCACGAAAGATAAGGGCCTTTTACTTGTTTTCTAATCCTCTCGAAATGAAGTTTTTATCCTTATCCTTATTGTCCATCTCTGCCCTCTCTGCCTGTGTCAGTGCTGGTCCTTTGGCTGCTATTGATCAACTCAGAGTATTCCGTTCTGAAGAACCTGAGCTTCGTCTTGTACAATATGGGTAATGATGGCCATTCATTTCATGCATGCTGTTTGAAATATTTCCTAATTCGTTTCCTTTCTTTTACTACGGATGTTCATAGTGATGATACCCCTCCCAAGTGGATGACTGAATCTGATAAGGAAGCGTTGTTCAGAGCCGGTGTCAAGTTTATGGACATCACTGATTATCCCAACCCTCCTGTTTCTCTCAATTCTGCTTGGCAGCCATGTAAGCAAATGCTATTAAAACACTGCAAGCAAAATACTCACACGCACGCGGTAATTTGATACACATCTAGTCATTCCTGCAGAAGCTAAGTATCAAGATGAAGTCGCTCCCTTTGTTGGTAACTTGACCACCGAGTACATGAAGGAAGTCTTGACCGAATTCACAAGTTTCCGTAACCGTTACTACAAGTCTTCCTATGGCGCCAAGTCCTGTCGTTGGTTGATTCAACAAATCAGAGATGTCGCTGATGGTTTTGATCATGTGTCTGTAAAGGAATTTGAGCATTCTGTAAGTGTGAAGAGAGGATAGTTTGTTACACACACATGATACTAAACCTGTACACAGTGGGATCAATTCTCTATCATCGCTCGTTTTGAAGGTTCCAACAAAGATCTTGAGAATGAGCTTGTTATTGTAGGTGCCCATCAAGATTCAGTCAACATGTGGTTGCCTAGTTTCGGTCGTTCTCCTGGTGCTGATGTAAGTTGGATTGAGCTAGCGTAGATAAACGACTGTTCCTTAACAGCGTTCTTCTATCAGGATGATGGCAGTGGCACTGTCACTATCTTTGAAGCATTCCGTAGCTTAGTGCACAATGGGTTCAAGCCCGAGAGACCTGTTGAGTTCCATTGGTACAGTGGTGAAGAAGCTGGTTTATTAGGTAGCCAAGCTGTCTCCAATGCATACAAGGAGGATGGCAGACAGGTTGTTGCCATGTTGCAAAATGACATGACTGGTTACATTGGTGCTAATGGCGAAGTTATTGGCATTGTTACTGATCATGTGGATGAGAAGTTGACTGACTTCCTTAAGAATTTGGTTGATAACTATGCTGGCATTCCTTATACTCTTACCAAGTGTGGTTATGCTTGTAGTGGTAAAGTTTAGAGGAGTGTGTGTGCTTTGATGGTTAAAAAAATGTTCCTAATGACGAATCTGTAGATCATGCTTCATGGCGCAAGGTCGGCTTTCCATCTGCTTTTACAATTGAAAGTGCTTTTGATGATTCCAATCATTTCATCCATACCACTGGTGATACCATTGATAAGCTCTCCTTTGATCACATGAAAGAGTTCTCCAAGGTTGCTGTTGGCTTTGCTGTTGAGTTGTCTCACAAGCGTGATTAACATAGTGTTGTATGATATTACCAATGAATAAATTGTCTGTCGAAGGAAAAGAAAAGCCGTTTCCACACATCGAAAGGGGGGTTGAGTTGATACTAATTTCCATTGCCATCATACCAAGCGTACTCAGCATTGAAACAACAGTTATGAGGTTATAGTAAACTCATATCCTTTTTACAACGCAACACTGATCATACAAAGGTAACCAATTTGGGTTTAAAAAGGGTCGAAAACCATCTCAATACTCGCATATATATATATATATCAATTTATAGGCATAGCAGGCATAGCAGGCATAGGCAGCAGCAGCAGCAGCAGCAAAAATTTAATTTCCTTTATTTTTTTTATTTTTATTTTTTTTGTCCAGGATGGTTCTTGGATCATCAATTTTGGAATTTTCAACACATTTTCGCGGATTGTCCAAAATTTTGATACATAAACACCAGTAGCAAGTTATTAAAGTTTTGATCTGCTTGAAATTCTGCATCGAATGGTGTGCATTTTACAAAATTTTGTCGCTAAAAAATTCTCGCAAATTGCAGCGAAAAAAAACACGTTTTTCCACCAAACGTCAATATTCTGCATAAGAAACACTTGAATAGACAATTTAAGGCAAAAGTCCAAGCATTTCTGCGCAGTTTCTATTAATGTGTCATATAAAAAAATTCCCGTTTTTGGCGTCAAATTCGATTTGACATGAAATTAGTCGATTTTCCCTTGTATATCCTCATGCAAAAATGGCCTGAAATCGACTTGTTTTCATCACCCCATTTTTTTTTCCAAAAATGCATCAGATAGTTGCTGCAAGTTCTGGTGAGTCGTTTGATGCTAATTTGAGCTCTTGATTCGATCTAAAAAGCTACTTTTTATGTCTCCAAACTTACACATTTTAAGCAGTGTTTTGGGATCAAGACGCTGTTTCGCTTGCAACAAGATGACTGAAAAGGCTCAAATGCTAATGATAGGTTTCAAAAATGTACACTGTTAACACTGGTACTTTTGCTAAGACGAACTAGCAAGTTTTGAGGCTGTACGACTCAAGTTTTATCAGAAAGTTATGATTTTGGTGATAGTATTAGGCAATTTCTGTGTTTAAAGCATTGATGGCATCTTATTGCACGGTCAAAGAGTACATTGAGTTGTTCCAACCATTTGCTATGAAAAGAAGGCCATTTCTTGACGCATGATAAATGTGATTTTCAAAGCTGCTACAGGTCAGTTTGCATCGTCATATTCTAATTAGCCTGGTGCTTTTGACACATATCCAAGTGAAAGCACTTTACTGCAAAACATATAGCAATAGCTTGGAAAATGGCAATCTCAAATAAAGAGCTTCATCATACTGCTATTAATCATTAGGTATGTTGTTTTGGGAAACTTAACCCGAAGTCTCAAAATCGTATATAATAAGAATGTGAACATTTCTCTTCCGCTTTTATTTTATTTTTTCGCAAACTGTTTTTTGTCATGCCAGATACGAATTCACGTCCTCTTGATCCTAAAGAAGAGATACGTCTATCTAAACTGCTTTCTTATCTATTACGACATGGTGCTGTCAAGGAAAAGCTAAACATATCTTCTGACGGTTTCGTGGCTGTGAATGATATAGTAAGTACCAGCAATGCACTCTCTTGTAGGACGAAAACTAATACATGTAGTATTAGTTGGCTCGACCTAAATTCAAGCATGTCACATTTGAGCAGATGCAGTACCTTGTTGATCACAGTGACAAAAAAAGATATGAGCTTGTGCAAACACCAGCAGGAGAATGGCTTGTGCGAGCAAGTCAAGGACATTCATTGAAAGCGATCCAGCCGGATGACTTGATGGAGAAGGTCACAGGGCCAGTAGATACACCTGTTATTCATGGCACAACATTGCAAGCATGGGACCAAATCAAACAGCAGGGAATATCCAAAATGGGTCGCAATCACATTCATTTCGCAGTGGGTTTGCCTAATGATCCCAATGTCAAGAGTGGGATTCGAAAGAGTAGCCAGGTGTTTATTTACATTGATGTGGATAAGGCCAGACAAGGTAGGATACATTATTATTAGTGTTTGGCATGCGTAGCAAATTCATGTTTTGCAATTAGATGGTATCGTGTTTTATAGATCAAAGAATAATGTCATCTTGTCAGAGGGCATCCAAGGCATCATTGCTCCGAGGTATTTCAAACAAGCAACTGACCGAGAAAATCATCGCTTGGATCTATAGTGCAGCAGTTCAACTAAGGCATTAGTATGATTTTGTGTTTATGTGAAATAAATTGTTCAACAAGGTGGGGAATGGTTATATATAGAGAAAAAGTATGTAAGCGAGAGAGAGAGAAAAAAAAGGGGGTGGGGGGTGGGGGAGATAAGGTGAGCAGTAATATACAAGAAGACATGTTCAACAATGTACATGAAGAAAGAGGCAAAATTAATGGCGATGCGCCCTGTAAGAGTCGATGGCAGTGAGTGGATCTTCTAGAGTAGGTCCATTATAAGCGGCGGCTTGCTGTTGTTGCTGTTGTTGCTGTTGCTGATGGGGTTGCAGAGGTGGCTGTAACTGAGATGAAGCATACACATCATGTTGCTGTTGCTGTTGCTGCATATAATGTCCGTTGGGTGTCACAGGCAATTGATGTTGTGGATGTTGTTGAGGTTGTACATTCTAAATAAACATGATTTAATATCATACAATTTTAGCATCATATACATGTTAATTACCTTGTACGATGTAGATCTCGGTACCATTGGCCTGTTATAGGCATCAGTCATCCCAGCTGACGAAGTATGCGTGTTGGCTGTATTGTACGGATTGTAGTCGGCAGGCGATGTAGCCATGGCAGTAACAGGTGTAGTCATGGACGTTGTAGGGTCCACATAATAACTCGTGGTGGTGGTGGAAGAAGGGTAGTTATTACCATTGCTATTGGTGCTTGAGTAAGCAATGTTGGTGGGTGTGGCAGATGGTGTTGCGTAATAATAGGTGCTATTTTTGACATTCAATTCCAATCCACCTGATGACGGTAATGACGATGTACGATGGCTAGCGCGCGTACTTGCGTTGCTGGTGTTGTTTGATGCCGTGGGTGCTTGGTGGTGTGGGTGGTGTGAATGATGATGATGGCTCACAGGAGTCACATTGCTGCTGTTTGTAACTGAAGCAGATGGATAGGATCTCGTAAATGGCTGTTGATTGGAAATGGGTGTACCAAACGGCGATGGCTTTTGTGGTTGCTGTTGTGGTAGTGCTTGTTGAGGATAGATGGGTGTATTGGAATTGGAAGAAGTGGCAGAAGAGCTAGATGGAACAACCACATTGGAAGCAACGACACGAGGCTGTGAAGTGTTTTGCGATGGTTGTTTCTGGTAAGGCGCATAGCCTGTCTCTGCTGCAGGTCGTCTGCTGCTGCTACCACTAGCCCCCGTGCTAGAATATCCATTTGTTGTTGCAGTTGTTGCAGAAGAAGGTACCGGGACATTGGAACGATTGTCATATACATTCATAGGTGTCAGCACGTTGGGTGGAGCAGAGGGAGTAGTTCGGATATTGTGATATACAGGTTGCGCTGGAATTCTCAGTGGTACTCGTGTCAAGGGCCCATTAAATGTAGGTTGGACAGGATACTGTTGTTGAGCCTTTGAAAAGAGGAAGAAGTTATGCGTCACTGCAGCCACTGCAGCCGCATGTTGCTGTTGCTGCTGCTGCTGCTGCTGCTGCTGCTGCTGCTGCTGTTGTTGTTGTTGTTGTGCTTTCTGTTGTTGTTGTTGCTGCTGTTGTACTTGATGTTGCTGTTGCGCTTGATGGTGCTTGTACTGTTGCTGCTGGCTCCATGATTGCTGTGTATTGCCTACAGAGAGCGCCATTGTTTCCATCAGCTTTTGTCGTTGTATCTCCACAGGAACTCCCATCAATTGACTTCGAAAGCCAAATAAAGCTGTTCTCCATCTCTCGTATTCTTCCTTTTGGACAGACAATTTGAATCGTAACACATCCAAAAACTCTAATTCCATGATATTCAAATCAATCACTTTCATTCCTGATACCTCTGACCAAGTTTTGTTTGTAAAGGTGTTGTCATCCAGAAACTTGTTGGCTAATAGTAACGATTGTTAATAATACATACAGGCAGCACCATTCTTCTATTTACCCAGCATCAGTGCCACTGTAAACAATCTGTACTCTGATCCATCAGCACCCTGAATATTTGGATTGTTTTGAAGCAGCATGGCAATGTATTTCAGCGAGAGCAATACTACAGACTCTGATAATTGTGTTGCACTAAGAATCTATTAGATAATATTAATTGCATGTAGACATCACATTCAAGACTAAGGCTTACCTGGCGACAGAACTTTTTGAATGCTGCACTTGTCATGTTGGCCATGTCTGCTGTCACTCTTGTTTGCTCCAAGCTGCTATTATTCTGCAGTGTGATATCAGATTTGGAGCTCGAGTGCAAATCCATCACAGATTGTCTTCTAGCATGCCACATCAAGTAAACCATGGTGGATGAAAACTCGGCTATTTCAGAGATGGACAGTGTGATGTTGGGTTTGGCATCTGTCGCACTAGGCAAAGGCTCTTTTCTGTGTCGCAGTGGCATTGGCTGCTGGCGCTGCATCATGGTAGGATGAATAGGTGATTGTAGCCGTTGCTGAAACTGCTGCTGCTGCTGCTGCTGCTGTTGTGGGTACACAACATTATCAACAACAGGGTAATTTTGAGAATACATTTTCTAGTTTTTGATTTTTATGTCAATTTGAATATTCAAATAACCATAAAAAAATAGGGCTCGAGTAGGCTGATTTCTTGTGAAGAGAGAATGAAAGAAAGGAAGGAGAAAAGATGAGCAAAAAATGAGGTGGAAGCACACAAACACAAACACTGAGTTTCTATAAGGTCTAAGATAGGTTCATCTGTTAGCGAGCCTTTCCCTTCTCATCCTCCCTCCTCTCGCCCAATTCAGATCACCGCCCCTGAGGCAAAACTTGGTTCTCTACAGTCACGAGGCTGCTTCGTGACCCTGTTTCCTTTTTTTTCGACAGGAAGCCACTAGGCTTTCAAAAGAAATCCATCATTTGAAACGTTTTTTTCTCTAATTTCACCTTTGACACACAACATCACATCATGGCACCAAAGAAGAAAACTTCAACTGTTGCAAAGAAAGCCGCCAAGGTTGCTGCTGTCAAAGAGCAGCAGCCCAAGCCAGCTTCCACATCTCTCAAGCGCAGAGCCGTTGAAGAGGAACAAGACGAAAGTGACAATGATGATTTCGGCAATGTAGACATTGACATGGGCTCTTCTGACGAGGAAAATGACGATGCTGCTGATGACAATGACCAAGATGAAACAGAAGCTTTCCCTGAAATCAGTCTTAGTGACGACGATGAAGAGGATGATGAAGATTTCCAAGCTGACAGCGAGGAATTGGACGATGATGAGGATGAAGAGTTGGAGGAGGAAGACGAGTACATGGCTGGCGATAGCTTGGATGAAGCTGATTTGGATGAGGAACTCGAACGTGAGCTGGAGCAAGAACAAATGGAGGAAGAGGAAGAGGAAGAGTCAAAGGACAAGGATGGCTTCACTTTGTATGTTTGATTTGCATATAATCGTGTTTGCATATATTAATATTTTGGATGATAGGCCCAAGCCCTACCGTCAACGTTATGCTGAGGATCCTTTGCCCGAGATCGAGGGTAACTACGACAGTGACAGTTCAACCGAGGAAACCGAAAATACCATTGGCAATGTACCTCTTGAATGGTACAACGATTTACCTCACATTGGTTACGACATTGACGGTAAAAAGATCTTGAAGCCTGCCACTGGTGATGAACTTGATAAATTCTTGGCTACGATGGAAGATCCCGATTCATGGAAGACTGTCAAGAGCGACAAGGAAGGCAAGGACATTGTGTTGGATGACAGAGAATTGGACATTATTCAGAGACTTCAACGCGGTATCATTCCCGATTCCACCTACGATCCCTATGAGCCTACTGTTGAATGGTTCACATCAAAGACTGAGGAGATGCCTCTCTCTGCTCGTCCTGAGCCCAAGAGTAGATTCGTTCCTTCCAAGTGGGAGCACAAGAAGATAATGAAGATTGTGCGTGCTATTCGTCAAGGCCGTATTGTACCTCGCAAGCCCAAAGATGAGAAGCCTCGATTCTACAACCTGTGGGGCGACGACGACACACCTCGTGAAGACCACATCATGCATATCGCTGCTCCCAAGATGAAGCTGCCTGAACACGACGAAAGTTACAACCCACCTGCTGAATATTTGCCTGACGAGCAAGAGATCAAGGAGTGGAATGAGATGGACGAAGAAGATAGACCCAAGAACTACCTTCCCAAAAAGTTTAGCAGCTTGCGTCATGTTCCTGCCTATGATCAATTCATTCAAGAGAGATTCCATCGTTGTCTTGATCTTTACTTGGCTCCTCGTGTTCGCAAGAACAGATTGAACATTGACCCTGAATCACTGGTACCCAAGTTGCCCAGCCCCAAGGATCTCCGTCCCTTCCCTACACATCAGTCCATCTCCTACGAGGGCCACACTGCTCGTATTCGTGCCCTCTCTGTTCACCCCAACGGTCTCTATGCCATATCTGGTTCCGATGATAATACATGCCGTCTTTGGGAAGTCTTGACAGGTCGCTGTCTTACCATGTGGAAGTTTGATGGTGTTATTCATGCACTTGGCTGGTGTCCCAACCCTGATGTGTGGCTCTTTGCCATCTCTGTGGGTCATGGTGAAGTCCATTTGATCTCTCCTCCAAAGCTCTGTTCTGCTGAGCAAGCCATGAACACGGATCAATTCACAAAGTCTGGCTTTGCCATCACCAACGACGACAATAAGCAAGCTGTTACCTGGATTAGAGCAAGCGAGGCTGACGAGGAAAAGTATGGCTATAAAGTACGCATTCAGCATACACAGGTTGTCAAGCAAATTACATGGCACCGCAAGGGTGATTACCTGGCTACCGTCTCTCCTGATGCCAAGAACCTTGCTGTTCTCATTCATCAAGTGACAAAGCACCAAACGCAATCTCCTTTCAAACGTCTCAAGGGACTTGTTCAAAAGGTTGCTTTCCATCCCATCAAACCTATTTTCTTTGTTGCTGTAAGTAGTCTATATTTATTTGCGTGTTTGTATGGATTACTCATTCTCTTGCTTAATTAGACTCAAATCTATGTTCGTGTTTATGACTTGATGCAACAACAATTAGTCAAGACATTACAAACCAGTGTGAAATGGGTTTCTAGTATTGATATTCATCCTGGCGGTGATAATGTCATTATTGGCTCATACGATAAAAGAGTTTGTTGGTTTGATTTGGATCTTAGCTCAAGGCCATACAAATCACTTCGGTAAGAATCAGATAGAGCTGTCTATTTCAGTGTTTAGGCTTACACGCGCTTTTCTATTAGATATCACAACAAGGCAGTTCGTCAGGTCTCATTTCACAAGCGATACCCTCTTTTTGCTTCCTCGTCTGATGATGGTACTATTCAAATTTTCTATGGTATGGTCTACAACGATTTGTTGCAAAATCCTTTGATTGTACCTGTCAAAATCTTACGAGGCCATGAAACCAAGGATGGACTTGGTGTATTAAATATCGAGTTCCATCCTACACAACCTTGGATCTTCTCTACTGGTTCAGATGGTACTTTTAGACTTTGGACTTAGATTTCTTTTGCTTTTTTTTTTCGCTCTTACTACTTCATTTGCTACCACACTCACAAACTTACACAATCACACACTCACACAACGCACTCAAAACATTTATTATTATAAAAAGTTTAAATATAGCTTCGTAGATTCGTAAATGTGTGTATTGGTTTTAAATGAATGCTGAACCAGCGAGGGTTTGATTTGAAGAGGGATCGTATCCTCGAAGGGTTCTTTTCAAATCTTCGAGAGTTGCTCTGTTGAGCCCTGTGATGTGAGCCTTCTTCATATGTTGATTATATATACTTCAGTCCGTGCAAACTGACGTTCCTTTACAGAACTCCTCAACGCATGAGAATTTTCCTTCCGAATTGGAGGACGTTTTTTACTGATGGATTCAACAAGATTGACTGGACAAGCCTCGAGGCACAGTTTAGATGACATTTGTAGTATGGGTGAGTCCCCTCTGCAAGTGATGCATTCCAAAAGTCCTCATCGCTTGCTTGCTTTGTTGATAAGTTGCACTGTGCCGCCTAGTCGCTGATCATTCTCAATGTCTTGCATTAAACTTAATGTGAGAAACCAAGTATTTACCATTCATGAACTTGCTTACCTTTATAAGTAATAATTGTTTCAAAACATGAAAGTTTTCAGAAGGGCTTGTAATGTACGTTCCGTCGTGCAAGTCAAGTCGGCTTTGCAGAAAGTCTCTTCAATCTCCTCATCGTCTACTTGTATGTGGTATTAAAAAATCATGTTGTCTTGTATAAACTTGAGCCAACAAGCAAGCAAACCTACTAATTTGTCGAGAAGATAATTATTAACCACTGCTTGACTTGTATCAAGGCCGATGGCAACACATTTTTTTAAATAGCCTCTTCCGAAGAACCTTCTGATTCAGTAGAGAGTACCATCCACTATCAACACAAGTTAAATTGGGTACTTCAGTCCATAATAATTAGAAACGCAGAAATCACAAAGACTCTTGTCAAATAATCCTGTGCAATAGCCACAGTTTAAAGTACTATGGATCGACTTTAAAGTGATTTCGCGAAAAAAAAAAAAAAAAAAAAAAAAAAAAAAAAAAAAAAACGCAGCAAAGTAGAATTGAATAGCAATCAACTGTATTTCGTTAGAATTGAAAATGAACCGAAGATCCTGGAGTAGAGTAATAAAACAGGAGTATCTATGCATTTGGAACCAGCTTTAGCATTGGCCATGATAGAGAACAATAGGTACAGCTATTGCGATACTACCTGGCAAATTTTGTCTATTTTTTAATTATCAAAATGGAATTCATTGCAAACACACTAGCAATAAAGGTCGATTTGAATAGCCTTGATGGGCTTGATTGAGCTATCATCTTAGCACGATTTAATGTAATCTTGGCAGTTTAAGGTGTGATGTTCGTTATTGAAGTGTAGAACTCTTTATCTGGATTACTGTGCAACAATATAATCTACATCCATGTTGTTCACTTATTTTCATTAGACTTATCTTTTGCACACCCATTTGCAACATGATCGCTCAAACCTTGAAACGTTAAATACTTTTGTACATCCATAATCTTTGATATGATGAGATAAGAAACAGCAACAGATTAAATTGGAACATGTTGGAAATTACTGATAAACAACAATGCAAGTTTGGCAGGGCATCTGGTACCAGGTTTTCCAGGTATACCTAGTATTATACTACTGTTGTATCTATGTAAAATAACTTTCCTCACATAATAAATACAATAAACACCCCTCGTATGAAGCTATGTAATCAATGCCAGATCCAGTGATTACAGCTTATTATACTATCTATTAGAATAAAGAAAAAACTTATATTGTAACTGTTTGGATATTCTTTTATTACAAACACAAAATTATAATACATGGCAGGTCAATAGGAAATCAACTAGTTGTAACCCTTCGTTGTTCCAACCTCTTAGCCAATCAGATTGCTTGAAAACTCCGCTGACCTAAAAAAAATTTTGCGAGGGTTTCCCCCTGTTTTGATGTGAGGCAAAATTTTAAGCGCCGCTATAATAGCAATATAGCCACTGCTATCATCAAACTTCCCCCAGGTGCTAGAGCATGCCTTACTTACACCACCTAGCTTTAAATTCAGGCATTGAGACCCTCAATCATCACTAAAGTAAGTAGCGATAACCAAGTGGAGGCGGCCTATCTACCTCCTAGCCTCGGATAAAGTCTTGTTGAGCTTCAGGGATAGGCACATCCACACAACGTAAAAAAGATATGCTTCAAAAGAAACATAATAATAATAAAAGAAAAAAAGAAAAGAATATAATACTATACGAGTATAGTAGTATGTAGGCAAAAAAAGAGACACTCACACAAAGTGGGTCAAAGAAAAGCATAACAAACACAACATCAAAGATGTTCAAAAAAAAAAGCTCGTTGCTGTTGCAAGAAAAATGCATACATGAGCAACGCGCATGGTAGTAATAGTCGGATGTAAAGCAACATGATGACACAAATACGCACAACTGCAAAAGCAACAGTGGTATTATAAGTTTGCGATACAACATAATGACTAGTATTGTTTCATGTAAAGCTACAGAGGAAACACTACCAACAAAAGAAAAACAAAAAGAAAAAAGCGCAACAAGGCAAGCATCATGAATGCATTCTCACGAGAAAGGAAGCAATAATATAAGCGTTCAAAGAAGTTTTATATCATTGCGACCAGAAGAAAGAAGATACTTACCACTTATCACAGCCACAGATAGACCAGAAGAGTATAAGCAATCACCGGAGACAGACCAGAGAACGAGCATGCACCAAATATAGTAGACCAGAAAAGACCAGATTAGCAGCAGCAACACCAGTACCATAGACAAACTAAAGAACGAACGCCATTAGCAGAGAGCAAACAAAGACCAAAGAAGTTACTTACCACTTATCACCAGAGATAGACCAGAGAACGAGCATGCAGCAAATACAGTAGACCAGGAAAGACCAGATTAGCAGCAGCAGCAATACCAGTGAAGTGAACTAGACTAGATTCCCATCATAAACAAAACCCAAAATAAATGTCATCTCAATCAAACCATGCTACCATCAGCAGATAGGCATGCATAATAATAGTATTAGCATGATGATAGCAAGGGTTAAATGCTCTAAAATAAGAGATGACAGATACTAAAGTAAATGTCAAGGGTATTGTAATGTGTTGTAACATAAATATACCTAAAAAGGATACAGGCTCAACAATAAAGAGCTATTCTTTACGCATGATTCAAAAACCATATATTGAAATACCGTTCTTGATCCATCAGATCAACAACTAAATGACCCAACAAAAATATATAAAGTAATGGAATCACTGGCAACTACTAAACTGCTGCCAGATAAGAGATATAAACCAAATAATATAAATAGAGACGTAGAATATACATTTTATTGCACATTATCCTAATTTCAAATAAAGAAGGATTTTAACAGTATTCTACCTGCTTTTTTAACCCCCTTTTTACTGCATTTTTTACTGTTACAATCAATCATTGATTTCGTTATGTCGTCTGTTCTGTCTGGTAACTCCCCACTGTCATCTCGTGCTGGCTCACCTAATCCCATGGAAGAGGACGTCATCATGGAGGATGGCAACGCATCCTTACCTGCCTCAGTTTCTGCAACAACTGAACGCCTCAATGAGATGGATCTCGCGGCTGACCCGCATACAAACCTCGTTGGCACCCCGTCTCCTGCGCCTACTATATCCACTAAAGGTGAAGAAATTGTCAACCCTGACGCTACCTCACCACAACCTGCTCCACCTGTTACGAAGCCGCCAACGTTGACTGAAGTTCTGAAGAAGGTTCTACTCCAAAAGGAAAATGCGCAAATAGCATACTTGAAAGCTCTGAGCCATTCCAATGTCAATGTTGATGAAGCCAACCTACTCCGTGAAAAAGTAAACAATTTAGACAAGCATGTCAAAACACTTACCGATGGTCTCAAGGCTGCTGCTGCTGCTACTGCTGCTGCCACCAAGGCTTCCGCTGCCGCTAACTCATCGTCCACTGGCTTAAAAATTTCCAAGAGAGATCTTCCCAAATTCCAACTGGAGGATAACAAAGCTAAACCATTTCCACATGAGGAGGCATATCGTTCTGTTGATCATTTCCTCTCAGAATTCGAAAAAATTGTGTATTCTTCTGGCCAAGACATCGAAACCGTATGGCGCAAGTACATTCCCCTCACGTTGTCGTATGAATTGGATGACTGGATGAAGACGGTGGTCATGAAGTGCAATGTCTGGCACGATGTCAAGTTGGTTTTCAGCAAGAAGTTTGGGACAGTAGTTTCAAGAATACATAAGCGTCGTGCTGTGATGAATATGGAAATTGGGTTCCATGAATCTGTCGATGAATATTCCAATCGTTTCTTCCGCACTGTTGGTGAGGCCGGCTATCATCGTGATGATTTGACAATTGGTGATGTCTTTTTGTTGTCTTTACCCGAGTCCTGGCAGCTGAACATTTGTACTGTGCTCCTTTCAAATACCAAGAGACAAGCCTGGACTACCACGGAAATTCACAATGCTGCCGTAGATCTTCTTGGTGAAAAGACTCCCCAATCATTGATGCTAGGAAAGGACACCAAGCGCAAGTTTGGCTCTGTTGAACCCCCTATTGTTGCTACCTCTGGCTCATCTGCCACCACATCTTCTGCTTTGCCAAAGGCAAGAATGCTTGGTGATCGAAATCTGCCCAATAGGGCTGCTACCAAGAACCCTAACCCTTGCCGCCATTGTGGTCGCCCCTGGAAGCATGGCCATACTTGTGAAGAATATCGAATGGCCAAACGCCAAAAGGGCGCTGGTGATGGAATCAACGTATTGTCCGTGTCTACTACTTCTGATACTAAAGAAGAAAATGAAACTGACGTGATGACCCAAGCTTTAAAAGAAGCATATGAAAACGAAATTTACAAATGTAAGTCTAAAAAGACAAACGAAAGCAAAAACAACATGAAACTAATCACGCCTCTTCTATTAAATGG